TTGTGTTGTTTTCTCGCTTCAAATCACCTTTTTATCTTCACTTTACCATTTTTTCTTGGTATATACTTTACGTTATTGCGCCGTGAAGTATGATTTTTATCTCATCTTTTCTTGCCGCCTATTCAGAATCATTTCTATATAAACATTTTTTTCAGTAACGGTATATAAAGGTTTGACCATAATTGAGATATTGCTCATCATCGTTAAGGTATTCATGAATGTTATTGAGTTAATTTTTTGGGATATTTGGTTAGTAGCTAAAGTTTTTTGTCATCGTAAATTGCTTGGAATTAGGTTTCATTATCTATGCTTATCAAATTTGAATATCATATGCAACACACTTCCCTAGTAAACATCTTTAAAACCATAATAATATTAAGTTACGTATGAGCGAGTGAGATGAAAATAAAGAATTAATTATTTATGTTAATTAAAAAACTTTCAGTTTTTAAGCTGATTTTGATAGTGTTTCCAAATCGATTTAGCTACGGTCCCATGCGTTCGACACTTGAATGTTTTTTTACCGTTGTTCCACTTATTTCCATCTATTTTTGTATGATCACACACGAATCTTTTTTTTTGCATTAAAGTGTCATAGCGTTTGAGCTTTTATTTTGTGGATTATATGTATTGTTACACATTTTGAGCGGCAGCCGTAACGAAAATAAATTAAAGATAAAAAACTGTGATGAGTTGTGGAGATAGCATGGGATATGGCGCATTTACACGAGAAACCAAGCCACAATCCAAACAATCCGCATTTCCCTACAAAAACACCGCTACAGCTGCTCAAATTTGCGTGTTTGTCTTGTGTGGGTGTTAATAAAATTCTTATTTTGCAGACGAATTGGATCGGAAACGTAGAAGATGAAAAAAATACTCTGTATATAAATTTTTTTGGCGTGCTTTCAATTGTGATGTTTAATTTTGTTATTTTCTTCTTATTCGCTTCGATTTGCTCGTAGAAAAAAATACTTTGACATCATTTGAAACGACAAATGGATTTGTTTTGTGCCTCAAAATCGACAAATAACATCTTGACAATATGATTCTAATGTTTTACTTAACATTTTCATTATTCTATTATAATACTCAGTGAATAAGAACTGAATTTAATTACATTCCATTTGTTTATGTAAACATTCTCATTCCTAATGACATTAATTAGATTGAACTGCCTTTTTTTTGTGCGGAACAAATTGTAAATAGAAATAATTTCCAAGATTCTATTCAAGCATTTAAATGTAGAACAGGAATTTAATTGAGTGTGAATCATTTTACGTTGACTTTACTAATGCAAAGATTGGATCAGGATGAGGTTGAGGGAAATTATTTAAAGAATTTGAGTTACGTCGCCTTTTTGGGTTTAAAAAAGAAGGAAATTCACTGTAAATGTTTTAAACCCATTTTCTTGGAAGATTGCCTTGACTTTAGTATGAAAGATGTAAGGCGAAAGAGTTAATAAAATGCTTTAAATTTAAGTATTGACTTTGAATTAAAATTCAAAATTTCAACCTTTTAAATTCACTAGTTTAACCTTTAAAACAGAGATCGAAGCCGATTTTTTCGGCTTAACTCAATTTTTGATTTTTTTGATAGAAAAAAGCCATTTGACACCCATTTCAAGTATTTAAATTGAACTTTACATGCTTTACTATGATTCTGTGTAATATTTTGTCAGCATGTAGCTATAGTGAGCTCAGAATTTCAATTTAGCCGATTTTAAGCCGATCGGCTTAAATTTCGGCTTAACATTCTTTAACTTGAAATTCTGAGCTTCCTATAGCTACATGCTGACAAAATATTACACAGAATCATAGTAAAGCATGTAAAGTTCAATTTATGTAAATACTTGAAATGGGTGTCAAATGGCTTTTTTCTATCAAAAAAATCAAAAATTGAGTTAAGCCGAAAAAATCGGCTTCGATCTCTGCTTTAAAAGATAAGAATTTGAACTTTTAAAACAAAAAAAATATTCACAAAAGAAGTACTTGCTTCATTTTTAAAGTAAAGATGCCCTCAATTTTCTTTTTTTTCCAATAATAATTAAATAATCGGTAATATTGAAGCTAGCTACAACATTCAATTTAAAGAGCTGATTATGAAAACTATACAAAAACACATTTTGTTGTTTACATTAATGGAAGTAACATGTGCAACGAATTTAAGATAAATATCATTACAAATTCTTCTGCTTACAATTTTTTTAAAATAAATACATCCAATATCGTTTCATCTAAGCCTTAGTCTCAACCTTACTCGAATATTCAAATAAAATACAGGATTATTACAAATAATAATAACTTAAGTAACTTAGCATTCATTTATAATTTATAAGAAAGTCAAAATGAGCGCAATGAGCACTAATCGCGTGATGATTTCCTTTTAGATTTTTTTTTGTGATCTCGAATCCATGTAAAAAATTGTTGGAACTACCCATGAGGTTGAAATGTAATTTATCGGATAGCATGTGATCATAACGCATCATATAGTCTAATGTGAAAGTAAATGATTCATTAAATTTTGTGTTTTTATGGATAATAATCAGCCACTTAGTCGATCATTTGGTCACTTACTGTGAAAGCAAGATAGTCTTGGATTAATTTGAAAAATAGTGTTTTTTGATTGGTCATGAAAAATTGATACAAATGGGTTTGAAAAATTAGAACTAAAAATTAATCCAGAAGTCTCGTGTTCCATAAAAACGTCCCACAATAAATCATAAATTTTAAACATTTTTTATTCATGAGATTTTTCCCAGCAATTATTAGCACTTCACCATACATGATATATGGAATTTTTTTATTCTCCAATTAATCTTCCAAACTGTCTGTACCTTATGATAAATTTTTACAGCATTATGTGAACATTTTCTCATAATCCCATGTATTATAATGTTGGAAAATGATTAAATGTAATGATTAATGATATCAAGATTCATCCTCAAGAATAAATTGCTCTCAATTCAGATTCATAAAGCAGACATGTGTCTCCACATCATAAAAAGTGATAAAAGTTTATTTTAGCTGACGACTTATTAAGATTTTGCAGCATAGATATGACATGTGAATCACATGAACCGCAACTACCTATGTGCTATATGGATATGAACATCCGGGTAACTAGCGATTGTGTATGAATGCCCATAGCCATCAAAACTTTAGTGCTCTCTTCTTTCTCTTCTCTTTGTTTCCATTATAAAGCTGTCAAAAAATGTGAAAGTTTTTTTTATAGGCAAGGAATAATAATAGAATTGAATAATAATCATAAATAGAAGAAAATGACTTTGAAGCGTCATAAAAATAAAATAAACAAAGAAGAAAGAGCAGTTTAAGGTCGTACATGATTGTGGCGAAAAACAAAACATTTATTGGCGGTTACGAGAGCGAAAAAATTTATTTTTGAGGGTTTGGATGATTATTTTAAATATTTTTTGGGTCACAAGGTATGTTGAATGTTTGAAGACCAATGATTTTTGAACTGATTTCAATCGTTTTGTGAAAATTCAAGTATTAATCGACATCTAATGCTTTAGCATTAATCTAAACTACACATGACCAAATGATACTGCATCAAATTCTTTAAATTCAACACCCCCCAAGCTAGCAAATATCCACAGAAAAATTTCACGACTCTTTTTCTCATCTCTTGAAATGCAAAATATTTCAAAAATTGTCAACCTTCAAGCATTTATTCTTTTTAAATATTTAACATTTTCATGAGCACACACTTCGTTCATTCCATCTGTGCCGAAAATGTAAAAGCAAACATGCCGAGAAAAAGAAAACATGAATTTCAAATGACTAAAATAGATGATGAATAAAACGAGACATGAGACATTAACATAAAAGTAATTCTCATTTTATTTTCTAATTGTTTGAGTTTGCTTTTGAAAAATAATTGTCAATTTGCTGGAAAAATCTGTTCTCGGAAACTTTTTTGAGAGTTTCTCTAGCTTGAATAATTGTCAAATGACAAAGTTTTTTGTAAAGAAAAATTTTGATTGAATAAATTAACAGCATGTTATTTAAATTGTCTTATTGAAGGCTTGTTATGTTTTGGTAACGAAATAACTGTTTTACTGTCGCTAATTGGTGTAATTTTTGGGTAGCAATAAAAACTTAATTAATTGGATTGATTGTGGAAATGTTCTTTGAGAATGTATTTTATAACTTTATAAAAATTTAAAATTAAAGTTATTAAAGATTTGATCTAGCAATTATTTTTGAGCAAATTTAAATTTAAATGAAGATATTGTTGTATATCTTATATAGCTATCCATTAGCTTATTGTATCTAATAATTAAATTAAAGTATTTTCTTGCAATTTTGTTTATTGAACAAAATTTCAAAACAAAACAATTGATTTCAAAAAAATTAAGAGGGGAATTAAACTAACCTTGAAAATTATTTGAATATAAACTATCCGTTAAATTGCAAAGAATTTCAATACTTACTTCGCATGAACAATAAAAAAAACAATTTAACTTAATTTACGGATTATAAGCACTAATTTGTTTTTGTAACAATGATTGATGATTCTCAAATAAATGATCTTGCAAATTAATTAAATAATTTTCTATTTTGTGAGGGGGAAAAAATCCATAAACTTAAAGAAGTATACCTCGAAATGTATAAGTCAATTTGTATTAACGCAATCGGCTCATCGATTATTCATTATTTTTTTTATGTGTGTGTAGAAGAAAAGATTTAAAATGTAGGACATAGATCAAGCAACTCGAGGTCACAACAATTATTCCACTTTATGGACTTTACATGAAAATAAAGGAATCATTTAATGAGGATCAATAATAATTACATGTCGGCAATAAACTGGATTTTTATTTGACAGCAAATGACACGTCTCAATAAAATTTGTTTTGCTTACATAATGCCTGTTTCTATGATGATAAACAAGCATGTTTTAAATGTAAGCAATCGTCTCAAATGTGATGAGAATGGTAATAAAAAAATTGACATTAAATTGATCGAAATACTCACCAATTTTCCAAACGATTTAACTTGTGTGGTGAACAATTTAAAAAATTCTTATTCTTCGTTTTTGCCTTTCTATCGCTTGAATTTCGATAGAAAATTTCCTTTTTCTTGCTTTTTCGAATTAGGCTCTATAAAGTATAATCTAGAAAGAAAATGAAAAGAAGAAAAGAAAGGAAGTTTAGCAATGAAATAAAAGTATACTTTTTCAAATCGAGTAGGTGTGTTTTAGGATTAAGGAAATGAAAAACGAGTAAGATAGTCTGAAATGAATTGATTCGCGTTGAATGTTAAGCTTATTGGGAGTTTTTCAAATGGTTTTGGAGATTGTTTTAAAGCTATGCATCTCAAGATCTATAGAATAATAGACTATTCAACTTCTCAGCTTTAATGTCTACCTTTAAGACCATCAACTTAACAATAATCATGAACTGTTGACCCCATCAAGCCATAATCCCCACAAACATACCATCAGACCCAAACAAACCGTATTCAAATTCTCAAAATTCTTTTGCAAAAAAAAGCTATCGCAATATAAGAATTTTTGTGTCGATTGCTTTCTTTCGCCCCGCACTATCCACCGTATCATCATTTTGTGGTCGTGTGGCTAATGGAAAAAGATATTAGGCAGTGAAGTAGATATACATAAATTTATAAAGTAAAGGCAAGATTTCATACAAATTGAGACTTTTTTTGCGAATTCTCGAATTTAAGTACGTGAGTTGTTGGATATAAATAAAGATTTCCTGACGTGTCCTAAATTATTTAATTTGATTGGATAATGGTGAAATTGGATGTGGCTGAGGTCATATTTTTGGGATTTAGATAAAGTAATCGAATGTGAAAGGGAAGTTTGTCGAGTGATTGACAGAAGATTAAGACAGAAAAAGCCCCATAAATTCCAAAAATAATGCTATCTTATCGATGAAAATTGATGTATTGAAGACACTCGACTTTGATGCACTTGAGAATGAGGAATTATTGAGGTAAAAAATAATGCAAATTCAATGTGAAATTACAAATCAGAGGCTCATAAAGCTTTAATAGAATCCTCCAAACTAGAGCCTACACATGTCATAAAACTCACTGGAAATGCGCAATGAAGCCATTAACGTCGATTCGATGAAATATGAACAATAGCCAAATAGAAAAGGAAAATCGACATTAAATACAGAATTTTCACAAAAACGAATAAATTTAAATACGAAAATTTTTCATCATAAAACCAACAACAACGTGTGTGGGCGCTTTATGTGTTTAAAATGACTAAAATTTTCCTTTTGTGTCATTCGTCTGGTCATAAATGTAAAATTTATGTAAAATAAAAATTAATTCAATATTCATCTGATTTATTTTCACTGATCAGGCAATTTTATAAAGTCCACAGCTTTATTGAGCACATAAAAATTCAATAAATAGATAATGTGATTTTAATTCCGAATGGACATCTAATAAAATTTATTTGAATTGTCAGCAAAACATTATTTTCATTTCATGAATTTCTTACTGACTGGAATGGAAATTTAATGAGGTTTTGCAAGATTGTAGTTCAGAATAGGATTGTCCAATGTCATTTTTCATTTTGGGAATTTTCTCCCCAATTCGTCCAGTTATCAGATTGAAGTTGGTCAAGCTCAACAAAACAGATTTGTCAAATTGAAAAGGCATTTCAGAAAAATAAAAGAATTTTCAAAAGAATAGGATTTATATTGATAACCAAGGGCTTTAACATTGCCTTGACTACTAGCCTTTTGACTCAAGACAATTTGTATTTTGCACTTTTTTCAGATCAATTAAAGTGAAATAACACCCAAGAAATTGAAGCTTTAGTCATCTGTGATGGTGCTGCATATATTCCTAGAATTGTTTATAAAAATTGTATGAACAGACGTCATAGCTTTCATCACACAAGAAGCTAATAAGCCTTTGGAAGCCATACATTCAATCAAACATTGGCTTAACAATTCCCAAACATTCTCAAGTAGGCGTAAAGACCCAACATCATCATCATCATCATCAACAACATAATTACCCTCCCAAACATTCAAAAGCATTTCATCATTTAAGATCGTTCTGATACAAAATGACCATTTCCTTCGAGACCTTTCTAGAATTTTAATGAAATATTCGAAAGAAAGGAATTTTTTCTCATAAATCAATTATAAAAAGTTCAATCCTTACAACATCACTTAAGTTATGTTTTTTGATCGACAGCAGCAGTAATTGGAAAATTTTCCAATCAACTTGTTATGATAAAAGTTATTTCTTCATTCTATTTTTGCAATATAACAAAAAGTTGTAAGGATGAAAAAGAAAAAGTTTTTTTTTGGAGATGCCCAAAAGAATCGATACGCTTTATGCTGCTATAAAGATCGTACGATGCTTCATTCGACCCTGACAGAAACAGTGGTGTAGCCAGGACCCCTGCAATTGGATCTCCTCCTGTTGAAAAATAATACTCAAAATAAAGAATAAAATACGCAATTCAAGTGACCTAGTGTCGCTGAATGAGTCACAAAAGAAGCCATTATGTCATTCAGAATTTAATTTTATGACTTAAAACAAAGAGAATGTCTTGGATATCCTCTTTCCATGAGAACAATCGCATCTTTTTGTTGAAATTAAATTTAAATTCGCAAATTAAATTCGCTCATTATAATCTCAAAAATCCACCATAATTGTGAGTTGTATTTCCGCTAGGAGAGTTAAAACTCGTGCGAAAAAAGAAATTAAATGTGACTTATTGCTCCGACAAGAAGTTTTATACCCACAAGAACACAAAAAATTAGACGATAAAAAATTAATTAAATGAGAAAAGGCAAGGAACAGAATTTTGACAAATATTTCTTGTTGCTGTTGCGGTTTGGCATTGATGAAAAGGATAGAAAAAATGGGAATTGTTGAAGGTTGCAAGGCACGATTGGTCAATAAAGTGATAATATTAAACATTACTGAAAATATCAACACTTTATAGACTAAGCGCCAAGTTTCCCTTACATTCATCTCCAAAAAAAATTTATAACACAATAAAAGATGGGAAGAAGCAACAAATTGACGAAAACAGATCAATAAACTCAGTTCCTTAAAAGAAATCGAAAAACTTTTCACTTAAAACTTCTTTTAACGTTCCGAATCCCCTAAGGAACTGCTTTTTATGGATGCATGAAATTTGAGTTTTTCAACCTTTTTTAAGTCAGTAAGCTTCATGCTACTTTAACAAGTTATATATTATAGTGGGTGGAAGATCCTGAGTGGATTCCCAGGTCAAGTTTTGTAGTAAATAAGCAGCTATCAGGTTTTTTGTATTTGTGTCTACGTTCCGTATTGACATGTGCTTAAATTCTAAGTATAGCCTAACATAAACTGCACATTGTTTTTATTGTCTGATTATGTAAGGGACTGTTTACTTATTACGTAACGCGAAAAAATGACTTCTTAGACCCCCCCCCTTCGTAACCAAATTTGTATGAAAAAAAAATTTCCTTGTTTGAACCGTAACAAAATCTTAGGCCCCCCCTCCCCCTAAAAGTGTTACGTCATAAGTGAATGGCCCCTAAGAAATACATGAAAAACTTTCCGGTACATATCAAACAACTTAAGGAAACCCTCAGAATATTAAATATTTTCAATGCAGAAACAGCTTCAAGTTATTTGCAATAATATCAAACTTTTTAAAAATTGTAAAAGAAAAACAAAAGAAAAATTTCTCTTCCATTTTTATCCTCAAAACAGTCTTTCACGTGCTGCCTTTATCTTAAAAAATTATAATGGCACGTGAGATAAATATTTTAAGTGAAATTCAATAACTTGTTATGTTGAATTTTAATGCTGACTTGGTGGGAATTTGAGATGAAATTTGTTTTTAGTTCCACATTATAAGGCATGGGCAATTTGAAAAGACAGCTTTAATCTACTTTAATCATAAAACTTGACGAAGTAATTCGCATTTAACTATTAAAACTATTTCCTTAATATTTAAGTGAGCATATTGCTCGAAGTCACAATAAAGTACATCATATGCTGGCCTAAAGCCCTATGTCGAATTAATCTAATAAAAAAATTCTCTTCTTCTTCTCTGTTTTGTTTCCTATTTCTCGTTTTTATATCTCCGCGTCACATGAATAATTTGATTTCTCCTGACTTTTTTTTACAGCTAAAGCATCGCACAAAAAAAAATATTTCGTGTGTTCATTTCTGAGTAGATCTGGTTCAATGCACTTGGTGTGTTCACTGAAATGATATCTCGATTTTTAAGTATTAAGTGGACACTAGCCACACACTCACATGTTTGTGTACATAAATAATCATATGCTAAATAGAAATGTGATATCTTATCGCGACGAAAATGTTTATTATACAATTTGTTTTGTTTTGAAGATTTTGTTCCTCTCTTTCTTGATTATTACTAGCTGTGAATAATTTACATATGAATAAAGGAGGTATCAAGCAATTTCGGATATGTTGTATGACTAATTTAAAAACTGGTGTGAAAGTTCTGACTGGAAATCTAGTTAAAGTTGTGAAAAAGTATCTTAAAGCATGCTCTAAACTATACATTACTGTCCAGAACAGCATTACCGTATTCCAATTCTATTTATTCAAAAAAAAAATTGATACCAACTTTAGATAAAAAATATCATTAACCATTAAATTTTATAGTAAGATGTGAGACGATGCCAGTCTATCAAATAAAATTTTTAAGTAAATATTTTGATAAAATCTGATCTCGGTTTTATATTCCCGGTTTTTCTGATTTTTATCAATGATGAATTTTCAGTGAATATTTTTGTATTTGTGGAGGATGTTGATTTATTTTTGGATGTTTAAGTTGAATTTTAAAATGTTGTGCATCTTGCAGACTAAGTTAATTTGCACGACATTGTTTTAAAATGAATCCTTTTGTCAAACCCAGGAAAATAACTTTAATTTTGCGAAATTCTCACTCAATAGTTCATCAAATCGTCTTAATTTTCACAATTTAGTAAGATCTAGCAACAAGCTACAAATACTAGTCAACTCAGTTCCTACTCCCAACGAGGAAAGGCTTTAACAGGAATCAAAAGATCCAAGAAGAAAGCAGTGAAACTTGAACAAGGTTCATATGTATCGAAAAGTTAACTTGTTGGTTGGTAAGATGATGCTCATGATATCGACATCAAATGTAGCACAAACAGCGTCAAGTTCCTCTCCATATATGAGAAGAATATCGACAGTAAAATAAAGTAACGAAGGAGAATCCGCGCAACGAAAGAAAAAGCGATAAAAAAATTGAATATAAGAAATTGTGTGTGCGTTCTTCTTATTCTTATTTATAAATAACCAGTTAAAGATTAAAAGAGAAAGAACTGATGGAAAGAATGAAACAAGAAGATCAGTTATTTTTTTATTACTTTTTTTCTTACTTTTTTTGCTTCTTCACTTTTTACTTCTTTTGCTTTTCACTTTGTACACAATTTTTTTCCAATTTTCGATTTGTGTGCCTCAGCTGGTGCTTTAAATACTATTTTTGGTATATTTTTTAAAATTCACTTTTCGAAATGTTTTTTTCAAATTTTCCTTTTCAAAGCTTGTTTTGAAATTTTCAAAATTTTCAATTTTTTTTCTTCAAAAATAATTCACGCAATTTTCTTCTTCAATCACATAAAAAAATTCTTTTTATCTTTGAATAATGCTTCTTATCCTTTTCCTCACTTCTCACTATTTTTCCTTCTTTTTTTTTAATAAAATTTTTTCCGCAATTTTGCTTTTGAATTTTGATACTTCTCGACTAAACAGCACGAGATACTCAAGAAGACTAAAGTATATTTGTTATGCTTGTGCTACACAGTAAATTTTGAGAGAGGTTGAGAGTATCGTACATGAGAGTCGACGACTTTTGTGTGAGAGTGGGAGATAAGTTGTAAATTGAGAGTGCGCGTTATGTACGTAAAAAACTGGTAAACTTGAAATGCAATGAAATTTTCAGAGTGTCATGAACTTTTGCATTAATCGATTGCGTGGGGGTTATTGTTGTGGATTTTTAAACTTTTTCGTTTTATTGGATCTTCTAAATCCCCCTTAGCGACTTGACTAACCTCAAAACCTGACAAAACCCTCACAAGACCATGCTATTAATATGATCAATTTTGATGCATTTTATATAATTTCGTATCATAAATCTCTTTTTATTTTAACACAATTTAAATCTGTTGCTGACTTATGTGCTCAATTTGCTGTTCATATTCATTCCAAAAGATCTTATCGCTCACGATATCGTTACTCATTGCCATATTATTTTTTATAGAATAACAAAATTTCTACCTTTTGAGAATTTTTTGTTGATTCTCAAATTTCATTTAAGGCTTCTAAATTGCTCTAGAAAAATTTTTATGACTCACAATTGCTTTCAAATTTTGAATTTAAAAGTATTTGCTATGTTTTCTGTTTCCTAGGACTTAATTTCATACTGGAAATCGTTTCTAAATTGAATAATATTTTTTAAAAAATATTTCCTAGTAAACAATCAAGCATAAATTGAAACTTCATAGATATGTTACTTCCAGGAGACTAAACTAAAGTGTCTATCTCTTAAATGCCATATCAACATGAGATTTTGAAATTTTTTCTGTACTTTTCTAGAACTTTTAAATTTTTTGCATAGACACGGTTGAGATTCATTAAGAATATGGATGCTGTTTTAGCTTATTTCAAATTTATTGCCAGCTTAGCAAAGCTTTGTTCAATTTTAAGTATTTTTGACAATGTGACTGCTCCACTAGTCTGTAAAAGCAGAATTAGAACTACATGAAGAAATATAACCTGACTAAAATTTTACTTCCTCATGACTAGTCAAAAAGGTTCCAACACAAAGCTTCAATTGTTGAAGAATGACAAAGCATTCAAAGAAATTCATATTTAAGAGTCTACATCAAAATTCAAAGTCTCGCAATTCACAAAACATCCATAAAGAATTTACTAAGAACTCAAAAGGCGAATAAAACCTTTACATGATCTCAAAGACCTTTCTATTATTAGACGATTACCCTTTGAATCAACATCGATTAAGCTTCCAAAATAAGAAGTTACACAATAGCACACGAAAGTAGAATGGAATAATAAAAAGGAAATCTTACAAAGCATATTTTTCTTTCCTTTTATGCACTTTTTGTTCTCGCTCGGAAAGAAATACAAAGACCTACGTGAGTACAAATGAAAATAAACACGCAAAAAAGAAGAAGTCAGGAATAAGAATAAGAATGATAATTTAATGCATGAGGTGATGATGATGATGACTCACAAAAAAAAAGAGACATAACAGGATCTCTTTTCCAAGAAGATTAACATCTCAATTGACTGAACTTTTTTTTTCAGCTGATGAAAGCAGTTCAAAGGATAGAAAATGAGGCCAAAGAATGCAAAAGTCTGAAACAACAAACAATTTTCATGAATCCTTTGTTTCCGTATCCAATTTTTCTTCATAAAATGAGGAATTTATTTAAGGATGCTGGGCACATTTTAATACTCATCATCGATTCTGCGCAACACTTACATTTTGTGTCTCCATTCCCTATATTGAGAGAAATATTCCTACGAGCATTTATGTATACATTATATAATCCTTACTCCCGACTAAAATGCTGAGAGGAAACTTTCTTTATGTACAATGTCTTCCTTTAATTTGGCTTTGGCTTCGTTCACTAACCTACTCTATTTACTTTAGTATTAAGTTCTTTTTTTTTTTTTTGGTAAGAGACATAAGAAGAAAATGTTTCGGGATAGCATGCAACATGAAAATTGAACAAAGAAAGAAATAAGATATACTTTTTATTCGGGAATGGAAGAAAATCAGGTCAGGCATTTTTTAAAGAGTGACTGAACGAGAAAAAGAACCAGAAACTGATAAGTTTATAGTTCTATTTTTCGGATGCATTTTTAAGGAGATTAGATGTATTTTAAAGGCATCTTCAGAATTTTCGGATCAGAATTTACTCTTAATGCTCCTTAAACTAGAATATCGTTAAGGAATAAATGAACATCTGACAGTTTGAATCATCCAATCCACATTCATTTAAGTGACATTCATGCATGAACAGTTAATCCCCAGCTACAGATAATCCCTATCCTAACTAAGGTCATAAACCCCCAAATACCTTCCCATAAAAATTCGTCAATCCCAAAGTGGAATGAACTGCAGATAAAAGAAATATTGCAATTTTATTTCCAAAAAAATGCCAATGCTTTAAAAATTTCATTCCTCGTTTTCTCTCAATACATGCACAAATCAAGCGACTTTATTGTCATAAAAAAATGTTTGTTGCATTTTTTGCAGCTCTAAATGACGACAACAAAAAAAAGTAACTTAATGATTCATTATTCAGACACGATCGGCGAATGATTCAAACTGGAATGTAAATTATGGCTTCTTTTTCTGCAACTTTGTAGATTAATGCAGAAAAATGCAAGTCCAATGGATTTAAATAATAATTATAATTGGTAGTTGTCTATCTATGTAGGTTGTTGTATGGAAATTATTTTGGATTTGATTTTGTTTCTTTTTGAATTTTAATTGGATTAAATGGCTGATTGTGATACTCCTACTGAATTTTTAAATGGGAATGGGGATTTGAGTTGCGATTTTTAATTCAAGGGTGGTCCACTCACATCAACATTAAATGGTCCCTTCTATACATGGATATCCTATTCATGAATCAACTATTTTAATATTTTAGCAGGAACTATACCTTTTAAAAATAAGTCTGAATTAGAAAAAGTAGTAAATTTTATTGAGTAAGCACATTTTTGCAATAAAATAAAAGAGTTCTGTCCTTCATATGCACAATCGAATTCAAAAAGTAATTTATCCATAACACGTGTTCCGTTTTAAGTTTCACATAGTGATGTAGAAAAGTTTTTATGTTCGTTTATCCAGTTTCCTTGTCTACAATGTTCATGTTCATCAGAAGTAATCATTAAAGATGATGGATAAAAAATTGGGCCTTCATGATGAAAGTTTATCATCATTTTGAGCTTCATACGCATCAGAATTAAATTTTACGGACTATTAAGTAGTAAACAATTGGTGTTTTCTAAGACTTTTGGGTTCATAGGAATAAATGAAAAGAAAACTTTTTGTGTGACTTTTTTTTAACAATATATGTTGTTGTAGAGATCTAACGCTTGTTACGTAAAAGTTCAGTTCTTTTAATAAATGGAAGTAAAATTATGTTTTCAAATGTTTAAGGCTTAATCGTCAAGAGTTCCTATAGAAACAATTTGAAATTTACTTTTTGATTTTAATTGCGACGAGACTAAGCATAAATGTATAATTATTTTTAAGGCTTCATGCCTTAAGGATTAAAGTTGAAAATTTACTTTTTTAAAATTTCTCTTTCAATTTATCAGCATGTAGGTTTCTTATCAAAATGAATTATAATAAAGTATTTCAAAAAGAATTAAAATTGGTAATTGGCATAAATAAGTTATTTTCTATCAAATGGAAGCAAACCCATAAAGTTTTGTTGAGTAGACATGTGTAGGTGCAGATTAATAATCAATATAAATTGTCAAGATCTTTTAATATTAAAAAAGACCTTCAATACTAAAGGCATCTAAGCATACATCAAGAAGAATTTTTTTCAAGGATAGACATGGAATTGATCTTATTTTTTAAGTCCTTTTGTGAATTTATTCATCTTTATTTTGAGCTTAAGCTTTCAAAAATATAAGTACTTGCATGATCATTAAACTTAATATAGAATATTATAAAAGGTAGCTACATTAGGAGCCTAAAAATCAATGGCCATGAAAAAATTCTTCAAAGGTATTTTTATCTTTCAGAATTTCTTCACTTCTTATTTTTGACATCTTTAAAAAAAGGTGGGTTTACTTTAAAATCTCAAGCTCATTTGGATGAATGAAATAAAAATCAAATAAAAAGTAACTCTAGACACTTTGACTCCAACACAAATAATCAGCCCTTGAAGTCACTAAAACATTACGTGGGAAGTTAAATATTCTGAATTTTCCAAGAACCTCATCACGAAACAGAAGATTAAAGCTAAGATTTTATTGCATGGAAATTAAATTACCTTCTTTTGTGATAAAATGTACTTTGTTCATGAACATCAAACCTATACAGTTAACTTAATCATTTTTTATCACAAGACTTTCAGATAATCAAGATTTTCAACATAAAGGAACTGATGTAATTCATCATTTCATCTCCATTTCTCGAAGACACACCTTAAGGATCTGTGCAATAACCATAATGAATGAACAAAAGACATTAATTAAAGATTATGAATGAATCTCCATAAATTTCTATCCTTTAACCAAACAATGCTGAATAAGAAAAACTTTATCATCTTTTTTATGTGTTTATCGATCAGCATGAAGGAGATGAAAATGAGAAGGCAAAAAATATTTAATTTAAAACTTTTTCTTTCTCATTCGTTGTTGAATTTTTTTTCTACTCTACACGTGAATCTACCTTCTATTAAGTTTAATAGAGCAGTAGGAAATTCCTTTTGACTGGCAACAGGCTTGTGGCTTCAAAAAAGTTCTCGTGGGAGTAAAGTTTCAGTTAAATACTTCATCTTTATTATCTTAGTTGTCTTATTTAAGAGATTGATAGCTTGTTGAAAGAATAGATCGTAATTAATTTATACTAGGAAGCAATTTTTATTGAGTTATAGAAATACTTCAAGGATTATAGAGTTGTGAATGGTTTAACGAGATGGTTCATTAAAAAGTTGATTGGGATTGAGTCTGGTCAAGAATTCTGGATTATAACAAGAGTATAATTTCAATGAATATTGAACAAAAGGGAACTTAGCTTCTAAGAACAGACAATCAAATCGTATCAAGCTCGATAGCTAAAGTTTAGCCATTCAGAAGCTAATGCATTCATTTATTACATAACACAAGATTCAATCCATCCATGCTAACAAGCTATCACAAAAAATAATGTGTTTTTGAAATCACAGATAGAATTAACACGTCAGACTTTCAACCCCATTTCACATCCATAAGAAAATCATAAACACCCAAAAAACCTTTCCTATAGCTTTTCCATGGCTTTTCCTTTTTTCAAAAATGACATCATCGTGTTCCAAGAAAACATAATAAAAGCTTTTAACTCAACTTTAAGGCAAGAAAATGTTTGCTTCTTAAAATGCAGAATAAAGATTTTCCTTTGTTTGCTCATATCAAACTTTTTTGAATTTTTAATGAGCTTACTTCTTCCACATCATTTTTGATTAATGTTGAAGCATATTAATGTTTGCACTCTGGATTAGTTAAAAATAAATTTTCAGTAAAGGAATAATGAATGGATTATGATTCATGAATGATTTGTTCTTATAAAAATTTTGGGGAAATTTTTTGTGGAAACTTTTTGGATTTTAAGAGGCGACTGTTATTTAAAGATCTAGCACTCTTTTCAGATGCTGTTCTAATAAATTGAACTTAAAGTTTTAAGAAACGTTTTTATGAACACCTTACAACAGTCCCAGAACACTCAAAAATAATGGACCAGAAAAAATCATCTCGAAACTTTTCACAAGGGTTAATTGACGTGATCTAAGATATTCTCATTACGCGTGTGAAAAATAAGACATGAGAGTGAGGATTATGTAGATTATTATTACAAATCAGCCAAGCATATATTCATGATTTATGTACTCACTTATTAATATCCAGTAATCTTCAATGAAATTATTTCACACTAAGCACGAACAATTTTTCACACTTTTTTAATTTAGGAATTCCAGCAATTTAAGGAACAAAGAATTCAGCCACAAAAATCTTCAAGTTACAATTTTTCAGATCAAAATTATTTTTTTCACGTGTCTTGAAGACTTGCAGCTTGAATGAGAACTAATCTTAGACACGAGAAAATTTGAATGGTAAAGCATGCAGTTTTTTGAGAGAAAATTTTTTCCTTCCAGGATGCGCACTGGAAAATTTTTGACTGTATTTGTATTTCTCATCCTTTACACGCTTTTTTGTTACTCTTTTATATCGTTTCTATGAACTTTTGTCATGTGACGTAATGTGCAAAGTGCACTTTACCATCTTCTCATGGGCAAAGGCGAATGATCTACAAATAAATGATGATAGAAATCTCTCGCGAAGAAAATAGTTGAAGTTCAATGGTAGCATCAAATTTTCTTCTTGGTGTGCATGCATGAGAGTTTTGTCCTGAATATATTTTTTGTGGTAATCAGTGTTAATTGATTCTAAGTAATTTTGAGTATCGAGGATGATTTGAGTTCAGAAACCATATAACAACTAAGTTCCTTGATTTAACTGCATGAAAATCTTCATCAATTCATTATTTCATATAGCTTAATGACTAACTGTGATGAATTACAAATTCATCAGAAATCAAAGCAATTCCAACAGTAAATGTCCACAGTTGTTATTTATACAGCACTGAGACATCATCATACACTTGTATAATTTCCTTCCTTTACATTTTCATCCATATTTCCAAGAACTCTGTAACTGTATCCTGCAAACATATTTCACCATACCTACAAAGCTTTGGAATTAAAAAATATTACAAGATACATTTCAATCCATCCACAGTATCGTATTGACAAAAAGGATTTTATTTCCTAAGGGATATAAATAATCAGGATAAAGTACGAGGAACAAATAATTTTTCACTCACAAAGTTCTGATTTGTTGGTAAAACTGGTAGAACTTAAATTAAGGATCATGCTGTGACCTTTGGAATTTAAAGGCTGGATGCCAATGATGCCATTAGATTTAAGAGAATTGTCAATCTATTAGAAAACATTTTGTAAGCAGCTATTGAGTGGCTTTGGGGGATTGTTAAATGTCAATGTACATTATTAGATGCTCTGCTGCTTGCTTAGTAACATTGTTGCTGTTAATCGTAAAATGTTAACCTTAAAAATTATCCAGATTGCTCCCTTAAAAAGGTGAAAATTTATTTGATTAAAAAAAACTTCTAGACAAGATTTACATCCTGTCAATAAAGCATTAGTAAAAACAAAACACTTAAACTTGTTTGCTAAACTTTCCTCAGACAACAATAAGACTTAAAAAAGGGTTCAATGTTACAATTTAAAACAGACAATTACAATTAGTAAAATGACAAAGATCTAATAAAACTTCAGGTCATGCAAGAAATATCCACAATTTTAATGACTTTCAGATACGTCTGACTATGATGAAGGAAGACAGAAATTTGAGTTCAAACTTAAAAGTTCATCAAGATTTTGTAATAAAAAAACCATTGAAAAATTCTGCCGAGCTTGAAAATTTCTAATTCCAAGTGGCTCAATAAAATTTTGTTGTATTCTCAATCGACTAATCCAACATTTATATCCAATTAAAGGAAGACCCAGCAAATTTTCTATTCGACTTTATTGCATCCAAATAAAATGTTGCATTTTATTTATAATCAGATTTTGAGGTCACGAAAGTTCATTAACACATTCCGCATATAGTAAGATGAGGGAAAAGTTCATACACAGAAGGAATTTATTGCTCATTTTCCGGATTTTAATGCTGATACTTTTTATTTATTGTTTGATTGTTGTTGTCATTTCTTTTTTGGAGTTTAAACTTCCAGTGAAATTGAGTTGGAAAAAGGATCAGTTTGGGTAAATGGCTAGACAAGATGGTTTAGCAGGCGCATATCCAGGGGGGATTTAGGGGACAATTCCCCCAACGTAAACACAAATTTCTTAATTTGCTATGAAAAAATCACAACCCCCCCCCCTTAAATTTTTCCATACAAAAAAAAAATTTTGTCCCCCTATTCAAATTCCTGGCTACGCCCTTGCATCCTAGCGTGAACTCTACATAGAGCTTGGGAAACTTTTAAAACTTGTTATTTTGATGCAGTTCAAATTTATAAAAAAAGTCAGTTGAAGTTTCCAGACCAAAATTTCCAAAGCAGAATTCCGTACATGTTCAAATTCGTTACTGTATAATTCTGTTATTCATGTGCTTTCTTTCGTCTCCTTCCCTCGTGTTTATTCATTGTCATAGGTTCCAAATGCATAAGAATATAAATGGATACGAATGATTCATGCGCATTGGAATCTCGATGTCAGAGAGGGGAAATACCATTAGTCAACATTTCTTCCATGAATGGAAATGAAAAGAATGAATGAAAAATTCGATAAAAAGTTTTTCATTATCGATTTTTCACCAAATAGACGGATAGAAAAGTTTGTTGATATCTGCCACATTGCAAAAGAGCTCAGATATTTTTTAAGTCGTATTTAGGGAAACATAGATGAAAAATTGTTTTTAAATGTTAAAATTAAACTAGTGGAACATCAATAATAACATACATAACATGTATTCATTACCGTGTGACTTTTAAAGAGATAATTTTTGTGTTTTTATAGGCAAAATTTACTGTGACGAAAGAAGTTCTTTTGTCTCAAGTAAAGAAATATTTAAAAAATTAAAGTTCAACAATATTGCATATTTTCAATCTTTGCAACAAAGTTGTCGTGTTTAAGAAACCTGTAACTGTGACCAAAGATGGACATTAATTCATTTAATCACACTTTTTTGCATTTTTATCATACATTATTAATGTTGTTGTTGTTAAATCATTACGTGACTATTGCCTATCACGATGATACGCACAATGTTGCTAAGCGATTGGATGTGGACGTCTGTGCGGGTATGAATATGTTAATTTTACTTCATTAATTATCAGATACTTTGTTGTGGTTACTTTTATCTCATTTAAATGTGATGGGATTATCAGAAGTAATGTAATTTTTCATGCTTGGTTGTTTTACATTGAATTTTCATGAACTTTCTTCGAGACGATGTAATAGAAAATGTTCTAACCTGTTCAATTTGTGTTTTGTCGACCATCCCAAATTTGAGCCAAGCGCCTTACTTATTCGACCAGCAAGGCACTTAACTGCTATCTAAGCAAATCTACTTTAAACTGGCATAATTATCAAATTTCAATCCAATCTAAATCAAGTCCTTTATATAGATATTCACCTTATCAAGCTTCTTCCATGAAAAATTATTCCTTGTGAATTTTAATCAAAATTTTCTCATTTCCCATCCTCCATCTACGTTACAACAAATTTTAATAACTTTCTTCTTCTTTCTCATTTTAGAAAACTTCAAAATCCACTCATCGACGATAATTCGTACGGAAGAATCGAAGGCAATGGGCGCAAAATTTTTGAATGATGAAGAAGTCGCCTCCAACGAAGCTTGCATGAAAATGTGCTGTGCTACAGATGAATGCGATGTTTTCATTTATGAAGAGAAGGTAAATATTGATATTGAAACGGACATTGTGAATCATTGAGTCATGAGATACTTTAAGTATTATTTGCACAACGAGAATGAGAAGAAAACAAAAGAGAGCACCAAACCGTCTGCAGAAAAAATCTGAAACAAGCTCATTTGTTGTTGTTAGACGGCATGTGATGATATCATCGAGCTATATTTCATTTAGTATTTGGGGTCAGAAAATGAAACCTTTTTAAAGCTCAGACCTTTCCTTCTTCTTGCTTTCCTCATCATTGTGTTTCTGGCTTCTTCTTAAACATTTCTCGAACTCGTTTATTAATGACTTTTTGGTGAAATGACTAATGCTATAAAAACGATTATAATTAAAGGATTTATGATATTTTTCTCGTGCTTTTAAAGAGATTTGGGAATTCAAGATTAAAGTTTATTGTAATTAAATTGTGGAGGATTTAAATTACATATTTGGAAGTTGAAATTATTGCACGCTTTTTAAATTAGCCACTGTTAAGTAAGTTTTTGAGTATTCAACTTAAATATATAGTACAACTTTGCTGAACAGTTCGATTGGTCAAAACTTTGCCTTAATCACTTCAATTCCTTCATTTAATCAAGAACATCATCTCAATTTTTTCAACATGACCCGTTAAAAATCCTGAACTAATTAAATTGATTCATTCAGAACATCCACCCATTCATGTGGAATAATTTAACGCTGGATACTCAATGTAGAGTAAAAATTCTCTCAAATCCAATTTGTTTCACTTTTTGCTTCATTTTCATCTCATACGTGCTGGAATATTCAATTGACCTTCACAAAATATCGAAATTTTTACCTCAACGATTTTATTTTATTCTTTTTTAGAGTTCTGGTACTTGCTTTCTCTTCCACTGTGGCCTGTCGGATGATTTTCGATGCAAATTTACAAGCCATACAAATTATACGAGCGGTATTTTGACAGTAACGCGTAATGAACTGCAGTCTATGATGATTAATCAAATTACTGATGTTGCTGTTAAACCTAAACTTTCGCAAAATGAATTAGATTTAGTAAGTCTGAAACGTCCGAGCTCATATCAAAAGTAAGTATTTAATTATAAATTTTCCTACAGCATTCTATCACATTCCATCATATCAATTAGGTCATCAGAGCTCATAGCTCTCCCATCATCAACATCAACAATTCCACCACTTGGTGTGCGTCTGTCTGATGTATCTAGTACACAAACAACAACAAAATCTCCATCATCATTATCATCATCGTCTGTCTGTGGCAGATTTCAATTTCAATGTCAAACATCCAAAGAATGCATTGCGGTGAGATATTGATGCAATAAGAAGGATGATTAATGTGAAATGTTATTAACTTGCTTGTCTTTTACAGATTTACAATGTCTGTGATCAAATAGCGCAGTGTGAGGATGGAAGTGATGAAGGGCCTGAGGTAAGACATTGACTAATGAGACACAAAAAAGGCTCTAAATTGTTAATTTTATTTTCAGTGTCCAACAACAAATTCTGTAACCGTGAAGAGTATTTTGACTGGCGTTGAAAATCAACCGAAACTAGATAATCAAATAAGTAGAAATCGCTTAGTTTCGTCTGTAAGTTCAGACCTCCAACCACTCATTTATTGTCTTAATTATGAATTTTTTAAATTATCTTTTTAGATGAACGATAATTTTAATCAAATGACTCATCCCATTATTCATAATCGAGAAGATCCCATGTCGGCGCCAAAATATTCACAAAATCATGTTGCACAATATATGGGTGAGTGACTTTAAACATTATGTGGCTTTTACCACATGATTTCTCAAGCACATTTAAAGTTTCTTTGAAAAGAATCTTGATAAAGAATATTGATGAATGCCAAGAAGACAACTCAAAACTTTCAATGTGTTATCATATTTCTGAAGATTCAAACTTCAAAGTCATTAAATCTTGATCTAAGTTTCAACACTTAAGTTAAGGCCAACATATCAATCCACTTCCCTATTTATTTAGAAAGCAGGAGATATGTTAAATACATAACAAACCCATAAAAACATTTTATTTACTATTTCATGCAGACATCATATTCAAAACAGTAAGCAAAAAAATTTCTGCACATCATTCTGTTTAATTTTTATATCCAACATGAAAAGTAGAGTCATGACTCTGAGGTGTAGTTTTGGTTATAAAATTATTTTTTTTATTTCTCTGAATTTCGGATGAAAAAGAAGTTTTAAATGTTTAGGTTCTCTATTTGCTCATATCTCTCATAAAAAATATAGTTAAGCATACGAATCTCTAACCTTGAACTTGAACTGTAATGTGGAAGATCACGCAAAGGATGAAAATCGATTTTACATGAAAGGCTATTTATTTATGACGTCCAGTATATTTCAATCATAGGATAGGAAAATTCGTAACATGATAATTTATTTTGCTTCATTTACAAGATTAGAGTGTCTAAAAATATTATCTTTTGGTTGTCGTCATTTATGAATAGTTCCTTAAAAGTTCTTTAATAATATAAATTACAAGAGAAGTAAATGAAAAATTTTTTATGTATGTAAATTTGCACAGGTTTCATTACGATTGTTTAATATTTTAATCATGCGAATAAATATAATTCTGACTCCAAAAAAATTCAGTCCACAATCTCATCCCAATGAGTCATAATCTCATCTGACCGACTCACAAGTAAAAGATTGAATCCAAAAATGGCCCAAAGCAATTTTCATAATCTCATCAAACGTCCAACAAACTGTTCAATTTTCAAGCTATAATTTGAAACAATCAGCTAGAATGAGAATTACACATTACAACTCAGACACTAAATAATTTCATAACGTAAATGCGATAAAATCATTTTTTACGACTTGCGAAAAAAAAATATCTCTCACATTCTAATTTATGATTTTGTTGGAAAAAAAGTAAGTAAATATGAAACAGACAGAGAATAAAGAATGAGAGGAGCAGCAAAAAATAAAGAAATATTTGAAACGGAAGTGAGCAATAAGTGACTGAAATAAAGACGACAATTGACCAATTTTCAAGAATTTCTTTTTTTAAGAAATGAAGTAAAAAGTCAAAGAAGATTAATGAACGAAGTTAAGTGCGTGCCTACAATACATACATGCGGGTAAATGTATTTTTTATCTGGACATTATTTTGGTTGGACTTAAGATTGTGGATTAAGAATAGAATTTGGTAATGTTGATGGAACTGAAGCGCAGTTTTCAATTTGAACTAAGCTTCAAACAAATTAATGCCCATGTATTCATACGCATAATTGTACATCCAGTCATCCAGCAAGACATTTAGCATTCTTCCAAACTGAATAAATTATGCTACAAACTTGCAAGCAAAAGAGAAAATGAAAGAACATGACATACATACATGCTTAGCATAATTCTTTTCATTTCTCGTTGATTCAATTAAGAACAATGAAATGCAATAGAAGCAATTCAATGAATAATCCACAGACTTAAAAAAATCCATTATTGAATTAAATTGAATTTTAATGGAAAGCAATGAACTTTTAATGAGCGCATCTTTTGTTCGATTCGTGATTCAACAGTTTAATGAAGAAGTTCTAAAAACTTTACTATTTTTTATAAGGTCGAATAAACTCTTTTTCTTATGGTTTTGAGATATTTATGTAACAAGATTCGAAAATGATTGATTGGTAATTGGCTGGATGATTTTGAAAGTCACGACTTCTTTGGCTTTTAAAAAATATATTTTTTGGAAAGAAAATGTTAAGAACTGAACCATTGTTTTCTGTTGTAGATACTGACTCAGACAGCCATATATTTAGCCACAAAAACAATCTGTTATCCGGAAATAATTTCCCTAATATTCAATATCAACAAAAATTCCAAAGAGATCCTTACATGATGCCTCAAACACAGCAAGGAGATGATCAAGTTTATCATGATCAATTGCAAATGACTCGCAATGATTGGCCACAAATGCCTCAAATGCCACCACAACCACAACAGCAAGCAGTTATGCCACAAATGCCGAAGCAGAGTAATCCTGTATGGAGTGAAAAATTACCAAAGCAAATTATTGTTGAGGATAAAGTTGTTAGTAATAAAAAGCAGCAGCAACAAAAAGATTCTGATTATTCAGAAGAATATGTAGAAGGAGATGAGAGTCAGTCTGATGGAGAAGATGTCACGACTACAGTGGCACCGAAGAAGGTTAGATCACCAGCATGAGTTGACTGAATCTTGTCTCAAAATATTAAAATTTTAAACTTAATCTTAATAATTCTAGAAAACACGAAAACATAAGAAGCAAAAAGCCCAACAAAAAGAGAAGCAAGTGAAGGTTCATGAAAAGCCATTACATGAACAGCTGAAACAATTGAAAAATACAGTAAATGATGATGCTCAATTTATATCAGAATACAGTGAACGCATTGAGAAGCCGACTGGAGCAATTTTATCACTAACACTAGGTTGCTTAGTGCTTGTCGCATTATCCATACTTGTTGGTTGTCGTATGAAACGAGTACATGTGAGAAGACGAAGACACGGAAAGGCAGTCGACGCAGACTTTCTTGTTAATGGAATGTACTTGTAAAAAATTTATGATTTTAATTTTATAATTTTCCCATTTTTTATTATTATTATTGTAAATTGTTGCCATTGAAATGTATTTACATAAGAACTTTCCCATGGCATTTCCATTTTTCTTTTGTTCTATTTTATTATAAAAAATTATTTATTTGAGAAAATTTTATTTCAATTAAAGAATTTCTTTAATTATTTTGTATTAATGTAATCTTTCAGGAACAATAAGAAATAAAGACATAATTGAAGTTTGAACATTTACCACACAGATGAAGGTTGATTTGGTTTTGGATGTTCTTGTATTTTCCGGGCGATTTCATATAAGTCAATTATATTCATTAGAGTTGAATTGATAAAAAATTCAGTTCCTGACTAATCTTAGCAAATAATTTTTGTCAAATCATTGCTCAGCATATCAGTGCTCAAAGAATAAATATCGTTCTTATCAATTAATGCTTCCCATGATAAATTGAGTTATTTGATTACTAGGGGAAATAAAATAGTTCAGTCGTGATCAAAAATTCGATACTTAAAGCGTGTCTAAAAAATGTTGTGGAAAATTGTCTCAATTTGTGTAATTTTCCAAATTTTAAATGTGGAAAGTCTTTTTTGGAGTGTAGGAACAATCAATAATTCTTCCGTTTTACTTTATAAGTAAGCTTGATTCTACGTCACCCATAGTGATATGAAATGTATCACTAATCAATGTAAAAAGTAAAACATGTATAAATACTAATTCTTCCGGACGGTAACGTCGACAAATAAATAATAATAAAAATCAATGTCTCTGCAATTAAAGCAGATTCATAATTTGATGTGTTTAAAAGATGTGAACTTCTGTGAGGATTCGTTCACTTATGACGCCCAACAAAAAACCTGATTTTTAGACCCCCCCTCTGTCACAAAAATTCTATAGAAAAAAATTTCAATTGTTTGAACTGTCACAAAATCCTAGACCCCCTCCCCCCTATATGTCGGACGTCATAAGTGAACGGCCCCTGATAAAAACTAAGAATTTAGGAGTAAAATATTAAACAATAACTCATTCCTAAATCAATTTCTTCTAATTTTTCCATCAGTGAAACATTTAATTACCCTGCAATCCCAGGACAAAACCGTACTTATAGTAGAAGCTTGACATTCAATGTGCCAATTGGGGGAATAAGTGTCACCAGGCTTATGGGAGACATCACAGTTGATGCTGGAGGATTAGATCAAAAGTTTATTAATTTTACAACGAGCAGCTTATTAGGAGGAGCTTTGAGCACGGGAATTTGGGTTTACCATAATGCAGCAGTTCAACAGAATGTTTCAGTCTTTTTAATGGCAATATCAGCTTTAATTTCATTATTTTACGTACGTCCGAAGATAATGTAGATTATCATGTTAAAGTTCAATAAAAAGTAATAACTTTTTAACAATAAATGAATTCTTCATTTTTTTTTGGAAAATCTTGTGATTCGCATGAACAAAATTTTATCAAATCATTTCAGTATTGAGCTATTAATTCTCAAGATATGAACGTATCATTTTCATTTTTGTTGATAAGCTAATACAGTTCTAAATCCATTAAGTATCGATATATTGACGAGTATAGTCGCAAATTAATCATGCTTAATAAAAACATTTTAATTGTAGTGATATTTTTACAAATTTTTGGCACTCAAAATGTTAAAGGTTGGGGTTCAACTTTCTTTGGAGAGACACATCCAAATTCACTAGTGCTTTATGAGTTAGTATAATGTGCTATTTTTAAAAACCTCCAAAATTTATTCGCATGATTTATTTTTAATTCTTAAAAGTGAACAATTCAAGCTTCCTGGTGTTGATGGAGAAGTTTTAAGAGTCGATAGAAATATAACATTTGATCTACCAATTCAAGCAATGGGATATTCATGGAATTATGGAAAAGTTGATATTCAAGAAGGAGGAATAAACAAGAATTTTATTATTTTTAATACACAAAGTGTCAGAGCAGGAGAAGCTATTGATACTCGTGTTACAGTTTTCTATAATAGTGCTATTCAGACAAGTGTTTCTATTTTCCTGATAGCTGTATCGGTTTTAGTATCGCTGTATTATCAAAGTTGAAAAAAAAAATAAATTATAAATATTTTTGAAGGATTTAATTAAATATTTTATTTCCTAAAGTCCTCAAAATGATTGCCACACATCAACAGACAATCAAAATTGAAGTTTTTGTCATCATTTCCGAGAAATCGAAGATATTTTCCTGATAACCTTATGAGTAATAATACTCAAATCAAGAATTCCGCTTATTCATATTCTAAACATGTGTAAAATGATTTAATATTTTTTATCATATCAGTTCCACCTGTAGTAAACAAAGATAACAGACATTTTCGATAGTAAAAATACCGACCAAATAGTGAATTTAGTACAAAAAGTGAGCTTGAACTGTGAAATTCGTAAAAACTTAAACAAAAAAAAAAAAATGATGAAAATTAAAATAATTCTTGGAGCATTGCTTTTTGTGCAGGCACTAGCCTTTGCAATGCCTCAGTCAAGTTCACAATCTATTAGCTCTTTTGGAAAGCCCATTACTGCTGACTCAAAACTTATTTATAGGTATTTATAGACAAACTTTTCGATTTGGAAGTTTCAACTTTATATTTTTTTTTTTCTTCCTTTTAACAGCGAAGATTTTGTCAAAGACGGAGACATAAATGCAATCGTAGCAGTTGAAAAGACAATAAATCTCAAGAAAAATATTGATTCAATTAGACTTACATCATTTAATGGTGTCATAAATGTTATTGAAGGCGGTGTAAATCACAATTACTGCAAAGTTGAGTCACAAAGTTATTTTGCTGGTGTACCGCTACAGACACGCATTGAAATCTATGGAAATGGAGCCTTAGCAAAGAGTTTATCGATGATTTTAATGACACTTTTATGTGTTGTTTATTATGCTTTATAAAAAGGTCGTTACTCAATATTTTTGTAGATCTTAAGTTTGAATAAAAGTTGAATATTTTGTTTAATAACTGGAACGCTAATTGAATATAAGAGTTAAAATAGTACTCATTCAAAATAGGGCTGCTATTAGTGTTTGAAAGTTACTATTCAGAGGTTGAAATTCATGCAAATCATATTTTAAAGTAAATTTTTAAAGCTGTTAAGAATTAATGAGCTTTTAAAAATAAAAATAGCCCCTCAGGTATATGCAATAATTCAAGCGACGCTTAAAGAAACAGAGCTTTTTTGCACTTTATATTTATTTTTGGTTAAAATTTAGAATTCAGAGTCAGGTTTCTAGAATTTCTTGTGGTAACTTAAATTGCCTCAAGCACCCAGAAACTAGCCTAGAAATAAATGAAAGCAATTTCGATAAAAGTACAGGAAATAAGAAATTGATCTCTATTCTACAGGTCGCTACTAGGTTGACAATGTGTATATCTTTTAAAGAACTTAATTTTATTATCCAGCAGAACTGACCTATCCAATTTTATTTATGATCAAATCAAAAGCACAAAAAATTCACTTAGTTTTATCATCTTCACTGTGTGCGAATATATTATTCATAACAAATGTATCTAGTTACGCGTCGCATAATAAAATATTCTCAAATAGTCTGAACAAGTTATAGCTGTTGTGTAGATCTCCTCTTTGAGAATATTAAATATTAAAATAAAAATGTTCTCCTTAAAGATGAAATTCGATAGTGTTTTAGTGCAAATAACCTTAATTTTAATTTTATCTGCATTTGCTTATGGTCAAAATCAAAGTGAAACTTTTGGAAGCCTCAATAAGTATTCAAAATTAATTTACAAGTAAGTTCTGTGAATTGAAATTTGGTTAAAAAATATTTTCAAGAATGGTTTTTATGAACTTAAAGATTATGACTTATTATGAATTAAAAAATTAAATGCACATAGCTAAACAAGCGATAAAAGTGTTTACTTGATTGAAGCTCTTAGAAATTGACAGAAACTTGCAGATGTGATTAAAAATTCAATTTTAAGATTTACTGATCAATTTCACGTCAGCTTTTATCAAAATAATTTTCTTCAAAAATCTATTAATATCTTAAAAAGTTCTCACAAGTCAAACATAAATTAAAACTTACACAGCTAAAAACTATATAACAATTGATATCTTAAAAATCCCCCATACAGTGAATCATTCACATACTCAGCAATAGAAGATAACATAGTCTCAATAAGTGAGAGATTCAACGCAACTGAGAGAATTCACGGAATCAAATTAATAGATGAGAGTGGAACTGGACTGTCGAGTAAAATTTTAGATGGCGGTCGTTTTAACAAATATGTTGTTTTGGAAATAAATTCGACACAAAATGATCATGATTTGAAATTTAGAATTGAAATGTATAATGCTGACACAGAGATGCTTGAAAATGAAGCTTTGAGGAAGAGGTGTTGGTCGATATTTGCAGTTATTATTGTTGTAGGAATAAATCGAATTTTATAAGAAAAATAAAATTGGTTTTATCATTTGTTTTGTTTAGTTTTTACAATTTTAAGGCTTTGTCATTTTCTCGCCTTAGTTCAGACAGGGGAGATTCTGTAATTTCTGAAGATCTCCCTATAACTGCCATATGTAAAACAAGTCGAGTTCGATGGGAATCGAACTCACGACCTCAAAAGCGGAGATCTTTGACAACTCGATCAGAGATCCCTGCCAATCAGCCACTGAGGTACTTATCTCACTTCGGCTATCCGTTGTGCACATAAAATCAGTTTCAATGCCAGCGTTTTACTCAAGCCTATCTAAAGATACTTCAGATATGCTCTTCAATCCATATCCACAATTTCTATTTTAGAATCTGAATTCATGATCTCTTATTACACTCATTCAAGCGTTGAATGAGTTATTAAACTGATTGTATTCATGATCTAATTGCTGAATCATATCGAAAGTCATTTTGCTGATATTTAAAATGTATTCATAAAAACTTTAGTTATCCTTAAACTCCTCGTGAATTGAAACCTTTTTAAAAATGAGAGTAGTTATTATCCTTTTTGTAATTTGTATGGCATTGACACATGCAGAAGATTTTGGAGTTATAACTAATAATCAGATCAAAAGGTAAACGTTACCAAATTTTATTTAAAATTATTTTCTTTTTGAACATTTCTTATTAAATCATATTAAGCAAAACTCTTTTAAAAATCAATGACAATAATTTTGAAAGAGTAAGCAAGACATGGAAAGATTTTAAATTCTCGGAAATAATAGTTGGAATTAGAGTAACAAATCTTGATGATACAGAAAGCACAGCAAAAATTGAGCGTGGAGGAATTGATCAACATGAAGCAGACATTTTAATAACGTCTCAAGTTGGCAAAAATATTAATTCAATAGTTGAATTTTATGGACCAGAAATAGGTGAAGCAAAAGCAAGCAACAAAGGAATAGTACTAAGCATGTCGATGATTCTTTATTTATTTGCTATTATTTCTTGGATATTATTTAATTGATTAAAAATTGCATCAACTCTAGTAACCAAAATAACAAAGCTAGTTTTAAGCAAGCAAGTACATAGCTGAATTAATAGAATCAATTATAAAGTAACTTTGTTTCATTACGAATTACTTAATATTTGAAAAGTTGTGTCCAGTTTAAATTAATATTAGATAAAATAAATTCAAAAAAACATATTTGAAAACTTTTTCTGCCTTTTTCTCAAAAATAAAAAAAATTAAAATATTATTAGGTGTGCAAAAAAAAACTTCAAGGGGTGAACACTCATCCTAAATTTGTCGAGAATCATTTAAATCTTTAAAATAATAATATTAAGTATACACAGAATTTAAAAGGAATTTTTCTACACAAACAACCGCAAATCATGCTCATATAAATTAGTCAACATTTATGAGACATCAAAATTATCTCGCAATGAATAATTTTTTTTAATTCGACAATTTATTCTGAACATCAAGTTCATTCCAAAATAATCATCAGTGTAAAATGAGAAATCGAGGAGGAACAAAATTGAGAAATGAGATCGCTGCAAATAATTCTCTTACTTGGAATCATCTACGTAGTTCATGGCTTATCGCCTTTTGAAAAAAGAAGAAACCCAAATCATGACGACGGAATCGTGATATTTTTTAGGTATGGATTTTGATTTATTTTTAAACGTTTGATAATTAATTTGACTTTTTATAGCGGAGAAATTCCAGATGAGGACTTCATCAAAGGAAACTTAACAAATTTTTTTAAACAATTATCAGACAGGCTAAGCGAAGCAAGAGCAGCTAATGCTTCTAATCAGTTAGAATGTCTAGAAGATGAAGATCCTGATTTTATAAAGAATTCAATAGTTTGGTCGAATAAAAGTCAACCAAATCCAACTAGTGAGACACACGATGAGAATTATTTTACTGAATTTCGGTTTGTCCTTGCTGATGATGCTATTCTGAGAGTTTTTGCTGTGCTTGTAACTGTTTTATCTTTGATTCTCTGTTATTTTATCACATAGAATGAAATAAAGATTTTAGAAAACGCATCTAGTATATATTTGACTTTGTTTTACAGAATTTACACATCCAATCATCTCGTTCATACTAAAATATAAAGTCATGACCAAGTTTTCAACTCGAGTTGGAAATAATGCGTCGATTGTTACAATAACCTGTAAACTGTCATTATAATAAATTAATCATTGATTGATCATCAACATCAGACATAAGTTCATCAATAACTGCAAATCATAACAATGTTTTGAAAACAAAATGATAAGATACCAGCCCATCAGAACTCATTGTTTCAGAACCTATAAAAGCATGAGTTTATGGAAATTTCAAACCAGTCTTCTTTTGAAAAATTAAAAGTTAATTTCAAAAAATGGAACAACGCAAAGTTATTATATTTGCAGCCTTAATATCAATTGGATTTTTTGGATTTGTCTGGGCGAGAAATGACTTGATTCTTGGAAATGTCCATCCAAATGCTGTTTTGTTATATCAGTATGAAACTCAATTAGAACGTGATTTTAAATCCTTAAATTAAATTCTGTTCATTAATTTTATATAGGAACGTTTTTAATATATCAGGAATTCCAGGACAAATCATAAGCAACAATTATGGATTTAGTAACCAGTTTAGAAACATCACCTTATTCCGTGCACTTGATTTAAACACCAATAATACAGGAGGTTATGCATACATCGTTGCTGGAGGTATTGGACATAGAAATGTGACTTTCAATTTACGCTCATCTGCTGTTGGACGTGGATATACTTTTAATGTCGACATTTATGGAGTATAAATGAACCTTATGAACAAAGTAAAATAAAGCTAGCTATGAATTCGAAGAATTCTAGTAACACTCATCAAAAGATAACCAGATGACTTATTTTTATCTAAAAGGCTTTGTGCGATATGTTATCGAGTATATTGCAATAATTTAAAATTGCATTAAATATAAACCTTGTGAATTTCATTTAGTCAGTAATTTACTGTTTTTTCAAGAATGAAGTCAAATTTTGTAATATTCAATGCTTTAATAACTTTGCTGTCCACTAAAGGAGTTTTTTGCTTAGATGTTTGTGATGATATACCGAGAAATATAAAAGAATCGAATCAATTTTTATTACATGAATGGGGAACAATCAACCATAACTCCGTCAGAATTGATTTGTAAGAGTGTTATTAGCACTCAATGTATGTTTTTAACTATCTTAATGTTTCGTTTTTCCAAAAATAAAGAACAACATGGTATTTAAGAACATTCGATGAAGGAACAATTGCAGTTTGGAATGCCACAATTATATTTTCAAGAGAAATGCATGGAATCCGACTGAGAAGTGTTGATAACACAGTTTCAAGTGCAGAAATTATACATGGAGGAATAGGCTTCAGAATTGCAATTATCACAGTTATTGGACATGCTAATATTTTGACTTTTACTGTTGATGCATTTGAAACCCCAGATATAATTTTTAAGGAATGGGGAACAGTAAATAACGCATCACTAACTTTGTTGTAAGTTTTTGTTAAATTTTCATTTTAAAACATAAAATTTTAATTTCTTTGATTTAAGTCCAACTTGGTCTCATGTAGGATGTTCTGAGTCTGAACAAATAATTAATACAACGAGAATAATTCATGGATTAAGATTAATTAGTTCAATTGATTCAGTAGCAAGCACAGAAGTACTTGATGGAGGAGTTGGTTTTAATTTTGTTCATTTAATAATTAGACCGCGTGTACAGTTTATTAGATATACAATAATAATGTTCGAAAATGGAACATCAACCAGTACTCCTGCTCCATCTATTACAAGTATGCCTGAAACGAGAGTTGAAATATTAGGAAGAATTAACGATGATACTCAGCTTCTTGATGAGTATGAATTATTTTCCTTTTTTAGAAGAATAAATAATTAAGAATTATTTTTAAGGAAACGATTCCAAAATTATCCTGAAGCAGGATTTACGGCAGAAGGAAACGGTTCATTTCAAGGAAAAGAAATAATTTTGGGAATTCGCTTGACTAGTCTGAACTATACTGATGGAAGTTGGGAAATTATTGAAGGAGGTCTTAATCAAAGTTTCATAGCATTTGAATTTATAGGATCTGATATAGGAAGACCTTATGATTTCAAAATTGAGGTTTATGGAAATAATGCAATTATAATGAAATTATCGGGAAATTTATTCATTTTATTAAGTGTTTTACACAATATTTTAAGATGAAGCTAATGTTAAAGCACAAAATAAATTAAACGAGAAATCGATAGTAAAATATGAAATCATTTTTAAATCACAAAACCACATTTTTCATTTCTTATTTCCCCATCTCAAAGGTTAGTAATGAGGAGATTGTAGTAACCGATAGTAGCTTAGTGTCCTTGAACTTTATGAGCTTGTAGGAGGATTAGAACAAAATTTTGTGAATTAAAACTTAAGAGGATCACGAGATGTAGGACCATATGATTTTAGTAGCGAAAAATTTGGAAATTGTTTCAATTTTGACACTATTTTCAGAATTTGCATTGAGATTTGTCATATTATTCACTTAAGTTGAGAGAGTTGATTCACAAAAGTTATTACAAACTTATCCCAAAAGGCGATTCTCAAAACAGTTCATAGGAATGAGTAACCAGTCAAATTATTTGCGCAATTGATTCAAGATAAGCCTAATCATTATTTTATAACGTCAATTGAAAATGTACTCTTTTACAGAAACTGTTCTACTAAAACACCTAATTGATAGCATATCACTGCTGATATTAAATTAAATAAAAACTCCAACTCATTGTCAGTCGATTATTTGAAGTTGAGGAAGAAAGAGCGAAAAATGAAAATATTTTTTGGAATTATTGCAACACTTTTGTCATTTGCCATTATTAATGGTGATGATATTGGTGGTCATGAGTTTGAGATTTTGGAAGATGAACAAAATTTTGAAAAATTTGCAGCGGAAGGTGACATAGATAAAATCTGGGGCGCAATCAATAACGACTCCGTTAGGGTTGGCATGTAAGTATCATTTTTACCAAAAAAATATTAAAAACATTTGCTTAACTTAACAAACTTCACAGTCGATTCGGTTACTCGTTAAACTCAGGCGTGGGAACTGTTGCTGCTTGGAATGTCACATATTTGGCTCCAAGAATAATGGATGGAATTAGATTACGAAGTTATAACAACACAGGAGCAGTTGGGGAACTAATTGATGGAGGAATCGGATTCAATTTCGCAAAATTCCAGCTTGTTGGGCATGAAAATCATTTTTACTTCACTGTTGATGCTTTTGAAAATTATACATCTAGTTTGCTTCCTGATCCTACTACACCCGCACCAGTTCCAGATAAAGTTATTGAAGAATGGGGAGTTATAAATTATGCGTCGCAGGTTATTCTGTAAGTCATTCACTTAAATAATATTTAATATTTTGTGCATTTTTTAAATTGATCAACTTTACAGTCCATATCATCACTACGTTCAATGGAACAACCCTGGAGTCATATCAAAATCAAATATAACAATTAATTCTACAAAACTCATTAATGGGATAAGACTGATAAGCATTAATGACACAGTATCGACAGGCGAGATTCTTGAAGGGGGAATTGGATTTGATTTTGTAAGACTTTTAGTTGTAGCAAATGAAAATTTTCTTGATTACTCAATTACCTTATACGAAAATGGAACCTATCTCGAGACAAGGCAAGAAGTGTATGGAAATATTGATAAAGAAGTTAAACTTCTTCACGAGTAAGTTAATAAATTATTATCAAAACCTTTAATATAATCTCAAATATTTCTACAGAAATCGGTTCCAAAATTATCCACAATCAGGAGCCAATGCATCTGGAAACGCTTCATTTTCAACATCTGGAATTATTTCAGGGATAAGATTAACCTTTTTAAATTATACAGATGGACGATATGAGATCGTTGAAGGAGGATTAAATGAGAGTTCCGTGACTTATAATTTTAATGGACCATATCAAGGAGAACCTTACGACTTTAAAATTGAAATCTTTGGAAACAATTCAGCTTCAATTAAATTTTCAATGATTTTATTGAGCATTTTCAACATTTTAGTTATTTTATTTAAATAAATAAGAGAAATTAAACCAGGCATCAAACAGTTTTATTTTATTAGTACGGAAATAATGGATTTGCTTTAAAAATGTCATTTTTGTCATCATGCTGTAAAGCATTTTTGTAATGTTTGAATAAATTTCCATTGTTATTTTTAAGCATAAACAATTGGATTTTATCAATAAAAACGTCAGTTCTTATCTTCATGATTCACTGAAGTTTTCCACAGTCTAACGTACTGGACAAAAATAATTGACGTCAAAAAATCAAGTGTTTTGATAAAGAATACAGCCTTTGACGTTAAAAATAATTAGTAATCACTATGAATGATTCAAACGGTCATAATTGAAGTGAGTCGGCAAGTTTATCAAGTGACAAGTTATCAATAATGATCAACATTTGAGTTACCTTAGATAGCCTAATGGGAATAGCATGCAACTGTTATTTAAAATTCAATACCTGCTGCATATTTTTAGGAAATGCTCTAAAGCGAAAATTTACTTTCTTCATCAATCAAACTAATTTCAATTAACTTCAAAAAATCGGCAGCAGTCTTATCTTATCATTATGTTTTGCTAATTAAGATATGCTGTCGACTAATTTACCATTTAAATTGCACAAAATTAAAATTACAATACAATTTTTAGTCTTTGAAGCAGTGGCAAAGTGTTCGAATCAACTAAATGAAAGCGAGTAAATTAATTTCCATTATTTTGCTGAGCTTAGTCATCCTTGTCAGGTATTCAAGCTCAAACTTAAAAAAAAAATTAAATCGAAAAAGATAATTTTAAATTTTCAGTGGAGAACTGGAAGACGGAAATGACTTAATAGCTCCAGCAAACATACCAGTAGAATGGGGAAACATCAATGGAACTAGACTTCTTGCACAGTATGACCTAATATTTTTAATCCCCCAAAAAATTAATATTGATATTTCTTTCTAGACAACGATTTTTCTACTATCCAACTCCAGGCGTTTTTGCAACGGGCAATGGATCAATGTCAACTTCAAATGTCATTCTTGGAATGAGATTGATAAGATTGAATGGCACTGATGGACTGCATACGCTAATTAGTGGAGGAGTGAATCATAAATTTGTGAATTTTGATTTCATGGGAGTTGGAATAGGAAGAGCTTACGATTTTGATATTGAGCTTTTCGGAAGTGCTGCAACAAAAAATTTCTCTACGGTTTTAGTTGTTTTGTCAAGCTTCTTGATTTATATTTTTAACTTCTGAACAAAAAAAATGTTCAATTGATAATAAATAATGATTAAAGGTTTCCAGCTTGGAAGTCATAATCAAAGATTTTGGAAATCTTATCTTATCTTGGATTTTAAACCAACTCTATGTTTATAAACTTTTACTAATCAATAATCAGTTTGTTTTGTGATATTCTAGTGTCAAAACCTTTCCAATGGAAGCAAATAAATTTATTTTTATTATTTTAATAAACTTAGTCATTATTTTGAGGTAATCTGCAAAATATCTAATTGATTATCGGAAGAATATTAACAAATTTATTTCAAATCATAGTTTAGGAATTACAAATGGTTATGAAGACATTCATGAATCAAGAGTTGTTTGGGGAAATGTCAATCAAACAAGACGGTTCCATACGTATGAAAGTTCTAAAGTTAAAAAACCTCATAAATTTGAATAAATTTAAATTATAGACAAATATTCCGTAACTACCCACCACCGGGGAACTTAGCAACTGGTTCAGGATCACATTCGTCTTCAAATACTATTCGAGGAATGAGATTAACAAGATTAAATAACACTGATGGGCTATGGACACACACAGGAGGAGGATTGAATCATAATTTTGTGAGCTTTAATTTCAGTGGATCTGGACTTGGAAGAGCTTATGACTTTGAATTAGAACTTTTTGGAACTGCTGCATCTAAGAGTTTATCGATCATTTTAGTTGCTTTGTCAAGTTTTACAATGTTTATTAAATATTTCATGTATTAAACTATTATTTTTTTTTTTGGTATGTAAAACAGTGAAGAACTTACAGTCTTCCTTATTATTTGTTGGTATTTCAAGAAATTAAAAAAGATCAGCTTTAACATTTTGTTTCACTTTTACTTTAATTTTGTAATCATACAAAAATACCTAGCTTAAGATTTTATCTTATCAAAGATTTTTAAATCTGTTCCAATACTTTTACAAATCAATGTTCAGTTTATTTTGTGATATCAAAGTGACAAAATCAATCCAATGGAAGCAAAAACGTTTATTTTTATTTTCTTAATAAACTTAGTCATTATTTTAAAGTAGGTAGATTATTCCTTTATAATCTTATTACAATCCTTACAATTTCTTTTAAAACTTCAAGTCTACAAAATGCAAATGGATATGAAGACATTCAAACAAATGCAGCAGTTGTTTGGGGAAATGTTAATGAAACAACAAGAATTTTTGTGTATGAAATTTTTTAATTGAATATTTAACTTTAAACAAAAGTGAAAATTTTAGACAAAGATATTACGAATATCCACCACCAGGATGGTTTGCATTTGGGGTAGGATCATTTTCATCAACAATGATTCGAGGAATGATATTAACCAGAAAAAATAATACTGAAGGTATATGGATACTCAGAAATGGTGGAGTAGGTCAAACGTTTGCAGACTTTGAGTTTAGAGGAGCTGGAGTTGGAAGAGCTTTTGATTTTGTACTTGAGATTTTTGGAACAGGTGCAACAAAGAGTAATTCAGTCTTTTTGATTACTTTGTCAAGTGCAATTATGATTATAAAATATTTTATGTACTAATTTTTTTAAAACAATAGATTATTTGAGTAAGTGACTAATACAGCACGTGATAAAGTTTATTTTTATACATTCGTTATCATTGTTTTATTTATGACCAACTCGAATGACTTCGTATTGTAGATTGCATATTCATTGAATGCGCACGATTAAAGGAAATCACCTCTGACGTAGTTTCAAAAGCTTATCTAATCTACATGCGTGATGATACTTCAATAACCTATTGAGTAGCTTCAAAAAAAATCTCAATCAGACTTTTAATCTTAACTTTATTAGCGTCAATTAGAGATTATTTTGAATTGGTTTTCTTTTAATATAAAATCTGCACATTATTTGGACATTTTTAGTAAGCTCTTGAATTATAAGTGAATATATCGAGAACTGTTCAAAATGGAACCGATTAAAATTTTTGTTGGGATTTTGAAAAATCTATTAGCTTTTTCTACAACTTCATCTTTCGTGCTAGATTCTGATAACACAAAAGAAAATGTTTTATTCAAGGAATTTGGAGTGATTAATGAACAATCAAGATTAATGTCCACGTGAGTAGTATTTTTACTTTTTTAATTAATTGAACTTTAGAACTTAATGGAACTTAAAAGCCAGAGATCGAAGCCGATTTTTTCGGCTTAACTCAATTTTTGATTTTTTTGATAGAAAAAAGCCATTTGACACCCATTTCAAGTATTTACATAAATTGAACTTTACATGCTTTACTATGATTCTGTGTAATATTTTGTCAGCGTGTAGCTATAGGAAGCTCAGAATTTCAAGTTAAAGAATGTTAAGCCGAAATTTAAGCCGATCGGCTTAAAATCGGCTAAATTGAAATTCTGAGCTCACTATAGCTACATGCTGACAAAATATTACACAGAATCATAGTAAAGCATGTAAAGTTCAATTTAAATACTTGAAATAGGTGTCAAATGGCTTTTTTCTATCAAAAAAATCAAAAATTGAGTTAAGCCGAAAAAATCGGCTTCGATCTCTGTTATAAGCTTTCATATTCAATTCAATTCACAATTTAGAGATGAATACGAAAAAGCTGGTTTGAAGGGAAATATCGTCACATGTTCTGCTCAGCGTGTTCTACTAGGTGTAATTACCGGAATTAGAATATATTAAACGAATAACACTAGAGGAACTGCAATAATAGATAGTGGAGGTATTAACTACAATTATGTAGAATTTCAATTCTTTGGAGGTGGAATTGGAGAAGGATATGCATTTTTAATTGAATTTTATGAAACTCGAGGAGCAACATTGGAACCGACAGAAAGTACATCTTATGATACTTCAACAACCTTATTATCGACAACGAGCATGTTTTCAACAACACCATTACCAATTACATCTGAAACTGTCCTAGGAATAGTCACTGAGTCATCAGTTATGACTTATTCGTAAAATCACATCTTAGTTTCATGTGAAATATTTTTAAATTAATTTTTTATACAGTGCTGAGTTAACAAAAGAAGCCGAACCAGAACAGACTCTGAATAGTTTTTATGAAATTTTACTTTATGGTACAACAATTCACGGAATAAAAAATTTTGGATTAAGATCCACGACTGGATTATACGAAATTTATCAAGGTGGACTCGGCCATGAAACAGTTGTGTTCAGATTTTATAGTGCTTTTCCTGGACAAGGTTTTTTTTATTTTTCATCGAAATTTATCAAAATGGTGAGGAGAAAACTACATTTAACCCTACCGCCGTTACTGAAAATACATCTACAGTCACAATAAGTACTACCCACATGATAACTGATAATCAAACACCTAATCAAACTACTCCAGCTGTTTCAACCACTACATTTGTTCCAACCACAACAGAACTCCCAGAAAAGCGAATCATGGATTGGGGATTTATCAATAACGAATCTGTCCTACTTACTGAGTAAGATATTCTTCCTCCTTTATTCCTGTAACTTTTTGACTGAATATTTTATTTGCAGAAAAAGATTTCAAAATTTTCCCTCAGTTGGATTAACTGCAATAGGAAATGGATCATTAGAATCATCAAAAACAATTCTTGGAATAAGACTTACTAGTTTGAATTACACTGATGGATTCGCAAATTTAACCAGTGGAGGAATTAATTACACTTTTGTAAATTTTGATTTTTAAGGAACTGATTTAAGAAAAGCTTATGATTTTGTTCTTGAACTTTTTGGAAATAATGCTGTATCTAGAAGTTTATCAGTTACGTTAATGATTTTGCTTAGTAATGCGATTTTCTTTTTTTAAATAAATTATAAAGTAATTAAACTTGAAAGGTTGCTCTGTCTCATATCAAAAATCAAAAACTTCCTTAAAAGATGATTTTGTAACATAGATTAAGCAACACGTGCCATCAACAAGCTTCAAATGAGTGCACCACTTGAAAGTGATGATAAGAAAAAAGCAAGCAATACATTCAGTTTAAGTTTATTACTTTAGCTCCTACTATATGTGTTTTGTGTCATTAAATACAAGTTTTAAAATGTCTGAAATACATTTTGCATGCAAAAATACATGAATTGGAATAAAAAATATATATCAGTAAAAATTTGTTAAAGTCTCATCATTAAATTCAATTTTGAGTCAATTAATTTGTTACTTCCTACATTTTTGTCTTCTCGATGTTCTCATCTTTCTTAATTTCATTCGCATAAGTTACTTCTGTGTCTGCAGTCGATTTACTCTCATCTGACTTTATGTCTATCGTTGATCTTGATGCATCATCAGCTGCCTTAATTTCAGCAATTGTTGGGATTTCATCATAAATGTGTTCTAAGCTCTGCTTTCTAGAGATATTCTTCCTTGGGAATGTATTGTAAATTGATTTCTGTGACATAGCGTAGATTGCAAAATCTGCTGGTGTGATTGGAATTGTCTGTGCGACTAAATCCATCATTGATGTTTGTTTTCTGGGAACGTCATAAGCATCTGGAAGACTTTTGGTTCTTCTACGATTAAACTCATCAACTTCATCGATCGATTCATCAAATGTTACTGATCTCTGCTTTTTTAATGAAGATCGATTTGGGATTCCTGGAAATTGAAGAAGATGAGGATGAGAAACTTCTAAACATATTTTTAAGTTTTACATACGTGGAAGTGAATCATGAATTATTTTAGCTGGTGGCATTTTTGTCTTTTTTGATTCAAATCGAGGATCAATCACTTCAATATCTCTGTCATATTGTTGCTGCTTCCTCAAGATATAAACCATCAGCATAAGAAAGATACACATTCCAAATATAACACATCCAACAGTAACCATCGCAAGATTTTCATCATGATTACTAGCAAAATAATGATGTTCCATAACATATTGTGGATGCTTCAATGGCTCAATTTCATTCCCGGCAACATCAACAAATACATAAGATTCATCTTCTTCTTCGGGAGTATCGTAATCCTCCTTTGCCTTCTTTATCTCCATTTCCATGAGTTTATTGACGCTTTGTTGAGGGTCAGATTCATTCAATCCCATTTTCATGTAATGATTAAAGTCTTTTCCATATTCTCCAGAATAATTCATGTACGGATTCTTTTCTGTCAATTCTATTGTAATATTTTTTGATGCAGCACTTGATGTTGTCGAGTCTGTCTCATTAGAATCTTTAGTGTTTGATTCTTTTGTACTTGAATCCATATTATTATCCAGCTCATCACTTTTTGGATTCTTTGTAGACCTTTTTGGCTCAATTGGAGTTGTTTCATTTTCACTTGCTTTGCAATTTTTCTTCCCATCACTTTCAAATTCTTCATAACCAGGACAACAGAATTTGATAACGCGCGATCTTGTCACGTTCTTGAAATAGAAGTAATGAAAAGATTAAATTATAATTTAAATGTGAATGTGAATGAGAGTCATGAGAATATTGTTGAGGTACTCAAGATGAGAGGATTATTATTGGAGATTTGAGAATTATTTGTACCAAATTTTGTCGCTATTGAGATTTAAGGAGAAGATTGATCGAACCCAAAGGGGTCGTTCAATAATTAAGTAACTGTGACTACACACATCATATCATATTAATCACAAATCGATTCTCACTCACTTAAAGCCCAATTAAAAGCACATTAATTGTGCACTAGAAAATTCATTGAATTAAAGTAAAACGCATTTGCACATTGCAGCATTGACAAGTTACAGTTGCTTTGTATAAGCACGCCTTTACTTTAACAGTACAAACTTCAATGCCTTTACCTCGACACGAACGACTTCCTTAATATCTGACTGCATCTCAGAACAGCGAATTTTCTCAATGCACCAGAAGTTTACTCTCACTTGCATTGGTTCCTTTGTGGTCGCATTGATGGGCTCGGTATAGCTTTAAGAAGATGATTCAATTAAGACGCATGTCAATTCATTAAAAAAATTATCTTACTTTTCCTGCTTATGACAAACATGATCGCCAGTCAATTCAATTGTGCATGTCACATATGTCCATAGCAGCATGAATAAAATAAATGCAATTATGCTGACTGAATTCATTGTCCAATTTATCAGTTTTAATGATGCTCTTTATTCTGGTAAATTGATGTGATTTTTCATATCACGAGACGTACGCTCACGACTTTCTATTGTCAATAACAATAGATCTAAAATTAGATCACGCACTGCTTAAAGCTTAATATTCTTAGTAAATAAACGTGTTACTTCAACGAATTTCAAATCTCAACTGCCTTTTTCTCGTTATGATTTCGAGTTGCATTATGGAAATGACAGTCAGGATGTCCTTAGAACATACATACTTACTCTCCATATGGTAGTGCGTAGCCGCAATACACAGAGCACAGTCAATTGAATTAATTCACATTTAAGTGCATTAAATCATTTTTGAGAGATCTGAAACGGCGGGCGACAAAGTAAAGCTATAAAACGGTATTTGTTGATGTGGATAAATAAATTGGAAGAAGTTTGGTCCATTGAGTTGTGGATAGAAACGCTTTTTGGTGTGAATTTTTTTTTATACTATTTTAGGGTTCAAAAGGTTTAATAGCATTTCTGCAAATCCAGTCAGTCATTAACTCATGAAAACTTGAAATTCTGTCAGACCAAAATGAACACACATGCACAACTTTTAATGCACTTTTTTATATCAAAAAATAATTACACGTTGTTGATGTTGAAACGAAAACAATATTCAAGGATTATTACGCGCTCTAACGTAAAGTCGGAATGGTAAGAGAGAGAGAGAGAGCTCGAAAATAATTTTTCAATTGAGAAAACCAGACGCTTACTGTTGATTATGATGACTAAATTTCTTCGTTGCATTGAATTGACATGTGTTTGTGTGAAATGTGATTGTAGATTTTGTTGACTTTATGTAACATGCTGAATTAAATTTCATTGATGGCAAATTTGTTTTAGCGAAAGCTGTTTCGAAGGTGTGTCATGTGATGATTGATTTGATGTGGAAGTAAGAGCAATCAGTCACAATCTAATTGAAAATAGATTAATTGATTGTAATCATGTTTCTTGCATGCTTCATGCTTTTGTAATGAAAACCGTTATTTTTTGAAGTTTGCAAATTTTTAAATAAATCCATAGTAAATGATTATAACGGTTTTCCATTGAAAAAATGCACGAAAATAAACAAAGTTATAAGATTCTAACAAAGTTGATAGTTTAACTTAATGATTTGCTAATCATGCCATTACATTTAACTATTCTGTATATTCTACATATTCAGTTCTCTCAGTAACATTGTCTAGAAATTAATATTCTCAATTATAACAGTTGATGTGCAACAGTGTTCAATTTTTCGAACAGTTCTCAGTACAAAAAAATAGTCAACAAAAGAGAGAAGAAAGAGGAACAAATAATTATTTTAGATTTTACATTTTTTTTAATTCTTGACAGTGAATAAGTGATTAAGTACGAATAAAGTGAAAAATGCCTAGAAGTAGAAATGAAGAGGCACAGCCGATTCTTGATAGAAATGAACAGGATAATAATGGTGACGATAATGAATTAGGAGATCAAGAATTTACCTGCTGTAATCCTCGAAAAGCATATTACAGATTTATAGCATTAATTTTTATGTGTTTGGTTGGATTTGGTAAGTTTTAAACATTGTTTGTGCTGTATGAAAGTATGCTGGTTCTTCAATATTTTCATTTCTGGATGTTGTGTACTTTAGAGACCCGCATCCTAATACAATCAATTTGTTAAATCAATTAATACATCAATTCATCATTTCGTTATCGCGAAATTGAAAAAACTGCCCATATTATCTCACTTTCATTGTGTTATGTTCGTCTGAAATGAATTTAATGATGATAAGGCAGAAATTCCCAAACAAAGGAACTAAAACTTGCTTCCATATGTTGATGAATAATGACCCGTATATTTGCTTGCTTTCAGCATCATATTTCTGTTATGATAATCCTGGTGCACTTCAGGATAATTTTAAATCCGATCTGGATCTCACGACGACACAATTTGCTATGCTCTACAGTATTTATTCGTGGCCAAATGTCATTTTATGCTTTATTGGTGGATTCTTAATCGATCGAGTATTTGGAATTCGACTTGGAACAATTATTTATATGTTTATTCTAATGATTGGACAGCTGATTTTTGCATTTGGAACGACTACAAATGCATTCTACATTATGCTACTTGGACGATTCATTTTCGGCATTGGAGCTGAAAGTTTGGCAGTTGCACAAAATAATTACGCAGTTTTATGGTTCAAAGGAAAGGAATTGAATATGGTTTTTGGTTTGCAGCTATCATTTGCTAGATTTGGCAGCACAGTCAACTTTTTGGTCATGGAGCCTGTCTATAAATACTTTAAGCAATACTATACAGGAACGTATGTTCTCGGCATGGTTATATTTGCAGCAGCATCAACATGCATAATGAGTTTTACGTCTGCACTTTTACTTGGCTGGATGGATAAGAGAGCTGAAAGAGTCTTACGACGACAAGCTATAGCAGCAGAAGGAGAAATTCCAAGACTTTCTGATGTCAAAACATTCAAGGTCACATTTTGGATGGTAACGGTTATATGTGTGGCATATTATGTTGCTATCTTTCCGTTCATCGCTTTGGGAAAGTAAGTTTGACATGACAAAACCATTTATCATGGATATTAAAATTGAATTTTTGAGCATTTTATGTGGATGAAAATCTCTTGAGAGATAAATCTCAACTGTGACATGCTTTAGTGTCGAAAAAATTCCGTTAAATCCAAATTTTCAAAAACTTAACGAAGTTTTTTCAAATAATCAAAAATCGGTTAAATTTAAACTTCAAAATCCGTTAATTCATTATTTATGATTTTTGCCCAAAAATATTATTTATCCTTAAAGTTGCTCATTGTTTATGCATCAACATCAATTTCCTTACAAATTATCTTTTCTTTCTTCACACAGAGTTTTCTTCGAAAGGAAATTCGATTATTCACCGGAAGAGGCAAATGCCGTGAACTCTGTCATTTATCTCATTGCTGCATTTGCAAGTCCTATATGTGGTTATATTGTTGATAAAACAGGCAGAAATGTGATGTGGGTGTTCATATCAACTGTTGTGACAATCGGTGCCCACGCAATCCTTGCATTTTCTTTTGCTAATCCATATGTTGGAACGATTACAATGGGATTTGCATATTCTATGCTTGCAAGCAGTTTATGGCCACTTGTTGCTCTCATCATTCCTGAATATCAGCTTGGAACTGCCTATGGAATTTGTCAAGCTGTACAGAATCTTGGATTGGCTGTTGTATCGATGTTTGGCGGTGTTATTGTCGACAATGGTGGATATTTGATGTTGGAACTGTTCTTTATTGGATGGTTGAGTGGTAAGCTCAAAACTTTGTGTTTTATAAAACTTAACGGTTTTCAAAAATTTGAAAACTTAAAAAAAAATTTCAAATAATCTTTATCGGTTGAAAATTTAATCTTTTATTTTACCATCTTTCAGTTGCACTTCTTGCTTCAGTCATAATCTGGTTACATGACTTTAACAACAATGGAATTCTTAATATGTCACCAACTGATCGAGATGAAGTTGTACAAAAAGCCCTCACATCATCAATTTCTATAAACAATGAATCACCAAGATCGTCAAATGAGGAAGATAACGGTGCTGGTCAAGCGAGAGAAGTCCGAAATAAATATTTAAAGAAAATTGGCGTCGGTGACACTGGAAATTCAAGTGATGATTGTGAACCACTGTTACAGTAAAACAAAATGATGAACGTAATCTGGTAACTATGTATTAGGCAACATATCTTATTACTACACAGGATCAATTACTAAACCATCTTCATATACACACACACACAAATTTTATTAAATTTAATCAGTATCTCCTATAGTTTTAATCTTTGAAGGACGAAAAAAATTAATTAATTTTTCAATTGTGTTTTTTCCACCCATCCAAAAATATTGTGACAAGATGCGCCGCAAAGTTGAACGCAAAAATGATTCTTTTTGCTTTACTTATTGTGATCATACTAGTTGTGTTAACTTAATGATAAATGAGCATCGATTAGTTATGTAATTTGTTGTGTAATCAAGCAGTATAAGTTTAATTATTGTTAGATAAAGCAAAAAATTGTTCCAAAAATCTCCTTAGTGGATATTAAATTTTAAGTTAGTGAAATTTTATAATTTTTTGAGTTTTGCATTCCCTTAGTTTTAATTGTTTTGCTTAGTTTGTAGCTCAAATGAGTTATGTCAAAATTGTCTTCGAGCTATCAAGTTTAAGCAACTTAGTGACAGGAAAAGCCTAAAAGATCAATATTATGCTAATAGTTTATAAGAATCAACTGAATTTTACAAATAAATGAAGATTTTCGGGGTATCCTCTCGATCTACAAATAAAAATTGACTGATTTGGCTATTTTGATGACAAATTTATGTACTTGAAGTGATTCCGGAGCATCTGGCAGACTCGAGAATTCTGCAGAATTCTGGAACACAGTTGTGCAGAATAATTCTGCAGAATTCTCCAGAATTCTGGAGAATTATTTATCAGAATTCTGGAGAATTTTTTGAAAAATGTCACGCGACACATTCGCAACATAATTTCAGAAAACAGAATTCTGGAGAATTCTGGACAAATAATTCTGGAGAATTCTGGACAAATAATTCTGGAGAATTCTGTAATAGTTTTTATATAAATTGTCAAAAACACCCTATACTATTTAGCATTAGCTATTTAGCTACAACTGTAGATAACAAATGAACTTACTTCGTTACGTAAAAATCAAATTAAAGCTGTAATTTACAGATGGTGTTTATAGCTTAGCTGCTGAGCAGTACTTACAGTTGATGTAATTTCACGTGAATTCCGCTGGTTTTGACTATGACATTTCCTTTTACAAAAAAATTGAATAGAAAACAAGGTACAGTAGCGTGCAAAAGTTTGAAAACGATTGGTAATTAATAACTTTAAATGCTTTCTAGCACGAATTCAATGAATCGTTATGTATAAACATAAAATTAGCATTATATTTTTTATTTGAATGAAGCATTCAGTTTTTGGTTCTATTCCGAATGACACAAGTCGGTAAATTAATCAGAAATCCAGCATCAACCTGGTGTGACTTTGGCATGGTGCTAGATTTAAATCGAAGCCATTCGTAAGTATTTCCTAGGTTGTTTACTATCATTGTTTAGGTTTTTGTTTCCAGTTTTTATTCTTGTATTATTTTATTTATATTTTAAATGTTAACATCCAGAGTGAAAAATTTGATTTTTATAAAACTGTAAACTCAACTGTAAGTACTGCTCAGCAGCTAAGCTATAAACACCATCTGTAAATTACAGCTTTAATTTGATTTTTACGTAACGAAGGAAGTTCATCTGTAATCTACAGTTGTAGCTAAATAGCTAATGCCAAATAGTATAGGGTGTTTTTGACAATTTATATAAAAACTTTTACAGAATTCTCCAGAATTATTTGTCCATAATTCTACAGAATTCTGTTAAAAAATTCTGTTTTCTGAAATCATGTTGCGAATGTGTCGCGTGACATTTTTCAAAAAATTCTCCAGAATTCTGATAAATAATCCTCCAGAATTCTGGAGAATTCTGCAGAATTATTCTGCACAACTGTGTTCCAGAATTCTGCAGAATTCTCGAGTCTGCCAGATGCACTTCACCCACTTGAAGTTACACCACAAATGATATTGATTAGGCTTGTCCTGTCATTTAATTAATTTACTTTATTTCGAGATTTTTTTGATGATGCACAAAATCATAAAATCAATTTAGATATTTTTTGAACTCTTTAACTATACATATTGAATCGTCTGGATGTAGGACAGTTACGAATGTAAACTGTATTCTATGAATATATTTTAATTTTTTGTGACGACCTAATTGACATTGAATTATAAGCGACTGAAACAAAGACAGGGACATGTGAAAAATAGATGCACAATCCATTAATGTCAGATCCATTATTATAGCCCAGAAATCTTTTTTCTTTTGTGTATCGTCGAAAAATTTCCATCTCAAAATCATTTTTTAAAAGTAAATAAAAAGTCCAAAATGCGCAAATGAGAGTCTTTAATACGTCATTATCAGGAATAAAAAAAAAAGTATGTCATTGACTGATTCTCAAAACAAACAAAATGTTATTTAATCTATTCTTCTTTTTTTCGCCAAATTTACATTATTTGAATTTTATAAAAATAATAATTGAATGTGTAAAATGAGAAAGAATAAGTAATGAGTCATTTTAAAGGCAGAATTTCACTTCACTTGACAGTTCTAGAAGCTCAAAATAGAGGAATGAACTCGATTACGTAGAGCAAAAATAAAAAATAAATCCAGCGTGAAGAAACAAATTATTTGACATGAAAATTACATTTTTACATTTTTCTTTGTGATTGTAGATGTTTGTCCTGCGAGCTGGGGTGGAATTTATTTTATGTACTTTACATTTGGATGATTTTTTTAACTGCTAGACTGGTGAAAATATTTAAATAAATGCTTGTGACGTTTTTATTCTGACTTTGTTCCTTATATAAGCATTCAAGTGGCACATTTAAGTTTCAATATGCAATGAACTAAGCCTGATTATCAGATGATGTTAGGCTTATCAGTTTCCATGCAAAATCTTGACACGCTCTGGAAGACGTTTTGAATTAAAATGCATCTCGAAACTCTTAAATAATTCAATTTTGTCTATACTAAGCTACGTCAAAATTTAGCTGAGCTTTCAATTCAATGTCAAAATACTTAAGTCTGATGCTAATTCCAGTTAAAATTTAATTAAAACAGACTTTCAATGACCCAGTTTGAAACAGCAGATAAGATTTATATAGTTGACTATTCATAGACTATTTGACTTTGCTTACAATATGCAGGAAAGTCATCGTCCTAGCAAATAGTTCTCATTGCAATAATGAGTGATTCACGCTTCATTATTAAAGAAGTGGATTCATTGAACTTGAACACTGACTCATGGATGGAACTCTTCTAATTAAAAACTAGAATTTTTTTGAACTATGGAGTAAAAAATTAATCAAAAGACTTTCTGTTAAATTTTTTATGATTGGATAGAAAAAGAGGATGAGCAGCATTAGCTTGAACCATTGCTAAAATCAAATGTACATCGGTGATTCTTTGGAACCAAAAAGTGTGTTCACTTGATTAATTTCAAAAATTGCTTGATCCTTTTCATCCAAGTCTAATCTAAATGAATCTATTTTGTTAATTCTAAAATTTATTTTTGATAGCTCAAGTTTTATGAACTAAGCCAATACTTTTAAAGGTTTAAAATGGAACTTATGCAAGATATATTATATTATACATAACAATATTTATACATTACCTTTAAATCTCTTAGTGTCTCCCTAGCGAGACTAACTAGCAAATTGCTAGTCTTTCTATTTTACTACTTGCAATTTACTAGTAATTATTAAAACAACTTACTGTTAGAAAATTACACTCGCTATTTACTAGCAAATTACTAGTAAATTACCATGTAAAATATTTGATCAAATCATCTTAAGTTCGAATCCTACGAAAAATCATCAAAAAAGGAATTTTTTGCGTCAAAAAAAATTTTGTTCTAAATTTGGCATTTGCCATATACTTCACAAGAGCGCGCAGAAAACACCTTTATAAGCTCGATCCAAATTTGTATGTGACTTCAATTAATTATGTATCTTCCTCAGGTTTGCGTGCGAGTCATGGGCGTTCATCAGTGTTCGACTTAATTAAATTAAGTCTTTTGCTTTTTTATCATAGTGTTAGTGTACTTTAATTAACTTAAACTAAGTACACACTAATACTTTTACAATAATTTACACAAACAAAAGAAAAATACAAAAGAACACGTGGAAATCAACAGTTATATTCATTTAATTTTTTTCCAAATTTGCTAGTAAATTACTAGTTAAATTGTAAGCGAATTAACTAGTAAATTAGCAAGTGAAAATGCGGGTCTTTGGCGCTGATTTGAACTTGGATTTTGACTAGTAAATAGCAAGTAGCAAATGGAAAGTTATCAAGTGAATTACTAGGAAATTACTAGTAAATTTCTGCTAGGGTCTATTAAAAAAGATGAAGAATGAAGGAAAAATTCAAAATTTATGGTCTTTTTATTAATTACAGTGGATTTAAGTGAGTTTAAACTTTATTGTATTTCTTTATTTAAGCATCCAACTGAACATAATCAATTCCATCGTCGTGAAAGTCATTCAATGTTTCTTCAGTAAAATCATTATAATGGCACCAACATGAAACGATTCCACAGCAAACTAGAATAACAATCGAATACTTAAACTATCAAATTGTAGTTTTTTATTGGTCTATCTTACTTCCTGGAACAGCAGATGATAAATAAATCATTTGAAAGAAGAGAACAAGGCAAATGAAAATCTTCCAAAACATTTTATTAAAATTCATTTAGATCCTTATGGGTTGATAGTGAACTAAGCTACTGATTCTTTTGTTTAAAAAATTGTTTTTATATCGGAAAGTGATTTAATGGCTGTCAATTTGACATTTCTTTAAAAATATTGAAACTGAAAAGCTAATGAAAAATGTTAAAAGAATTGAAAATCCATTTTTAAATGTTTTTTGTTGTTTTTGTAAAGTTAGATCCTGAAACGTTAAGATTCAGATTTTTTAAGTAAATTCAACCTCAACCATCGCACCAACAACCAAGGAAATTGCAACAATCTGTAATTGAAAAAGGATTGATTGAACTTGGCACAAATAGTTTAAAATTTTTTACCTTGATCAGCTGCAATCCAGTGAACCATGAATAAAATTAGTAAAATTGGAACTGATTTTGTAAAACTCATAATTTCTCAATTTTTGATCTCTATCCTTTCGATATCAATTTTCTGTTAAAACTAAGCAATTCAAACCTAAGTTTTTATATTTAAACACTTTAACTTTAATTTTCATGGATGTCAATTTATGATTATAATTACTTTATTGAACACAAATTCAAATTAAGGACCCTTTCACTTATTATGTAACGCTCATAAAATGGGAGCAGGGGGGGGGGGGAAGATTTTAAGACAGTCCAAAGAGAGGAGGAGGGGTTAAAAATCCAGTAAAAAGTTCACACAAAATAAATTTTAACATCTCTTTATTTAAAAATGTTTAAATTCAACCATACATAATTTGATCATCTTGGAAATTACTAAAGTAATCATTTTGAAAATCAACGTCATCGTGGAAACATGGCCAACAACCCATTATGCCGCAACATCCTAAAATTATAGAATAATTTGAAGTTCATTTTATTTTATAATTTAAAAAACCTTTACTTTCTCTTCGATTGATTCCCATGTAAGTTTTGGATGGACTTGCTGAAACAACAAACATCATGCAAGCAACAAGCATGATAACGATTAAAAGTTTAGAATTCATGATTTTTAAGTTTGACGTTTTTGAAATTCGGGAGGAAACTAAAAGTTGCTGTTGCATGAAAAATGCTTTTATAGAAATTTTATTGCTGTGTAATTTTTATGGCTGTCAAATGTAAATTTAATGATTTATTAAATTATAGAAAATGCGATAATTAAGAATCAGGTGAGAAATTTAAAGCTTGAAAATAAGTTTTTCAAATAAACTAGAGTATCGGTTAGAAACCTAATGCGGATGTATTATATATACACCGGAACATCGAAAATCTTGTGGATAAACCAAGCTATGCTCAGCATTAGTTTGATCTAGTTTGAGGGATCTAAAGCAAAAACTAGAAGTCTATACGATGCCGCATGATTGAGATTTCTTCCTGATTAACTTGCTTGCTTGTTTGTTTACAGAAAAAATGCCTCAACCTTAGCAATTAAGTGCCTTGCTGGTCGAATCCAGCCATTTCAAAATTTGTTCATTTTCAGAAGTTTAGATACTTCGACTGCTTAATGTACGAGATCAAGGCATAATTGGGCATTTTGGGCAACGTTGGATTAAAGAACGGATCAGGAACCTGAAGTGTAGCGGGAGAAATAGGAACGAGAACTATAAGATTACCTTATAATGGAATATTGTCAGGACCTGAAATGTATCACGTCAAGCCTACAGAAGATTGAAACGAGAGCCTGAATTTAATCGAAACTTAGATTTGAAGATTAGAAGCTTGATTCTAAGTCACCCATAGTTATATGAAATGTATCACTAATCAATGTAAAAAGTAAAACATGTATAAATACTAATTCTTCCGAATGGTAACGTTGACAAATAAATAATAATAATAATAACCTACTTTTTGCAGATGTGAAATTTCAGGCACAAACTTTTTATCTTTGCTCCATTTCCTCACAAAGTTCGAAAAACTGATTTTTCAATCTGAACAAAAATAATATATTTAGACGTGAATAACGGCGAATACATAAAAACCATGTTTGATACTGTGCCAGATCAGGATGTATTAAATTAAAAATGAGCTTAATGGAATTAAAAAAGAGCATAAATTCAAATATTTTTATCAATTATTTTATTCACTTTTAATTATGATGACAAGGATCTTTTACATTGGCTATTTCAGGATCTTGATGTATTATAGCTATTTTTATTTATCAGTAGCCGTAGTTGTCACAAAGACATAAAGGATCACCACATCTGCATCTTCTTAAATTGGTAGCCATTTGAGGATCGACTTCAGGTGCATCGAATTGTCCAACATCGTATTCATCATACATATCAGGCATAAAACTTGATCTTGGAAACGATGAAACTGCTGAAATCCCGTAATTCATATAAAGAATTATCGCGAAACAGATTAAAATCTTTGAATTCATGATTTTCCAGCTATTTATTTTGAAGCTTCAACAAAGACTGAAGCATTGCAGTCACAACTGCTTTTATATATTTCTATTTTCTATTTTGTGATTTTATGGCTGTCAATTAAATTTAGTAAAGTTTTCATGGATGTTTTAAAGCTGAAGCTGAAAATCGAGTCGGGTTTTGAACAATTGAAAAAAAAATTTATTTAAGGAAAATTTAAACATTTTTATTAATTAAGTTAACTCTTTAGCTAGATTTCACTTAAGGCAACAAAAAAAGCAATATTTGCATCCTAGAAAAATTAAAAATAAAAATTAATTTGAAAACAATTAAATTTTGAAATATCAAAATCTTACTTTCTTGCTGTAGTATCAAGTCTGCAATGTCCTCTAATGATATTTCTTCATCAAAGGCATCAATTGGATCACCTAGGACAAGTTCTTCTGTTTCCAACATTGCCAAATTTGATCGAGGCATAAAAAGACGAAAATCGTTCAATGGAACTGACAAAACTGCTTGACTCGTCCAAAATATTAATGCGAAAAATAATACAAATTTCAAATTCATTTTTAATCAATTTTTAAATTTTCATTAATTTCTAGATTAAAATCTTAGTTCTTTTATACCTTTTTTCCACTTGTCAATTCAACGCTTATTAAAAATAAATTTGTACAAATTAGGTAAATCATGTAAGTTTCAATCTTTGTAAAGTTGAAATATTTTAATTTGAACTTTATTTAAATTTCTTGAGACCAAGCTTTAGGTATTCACTTTTAGGCTTGCACATAAAAAAGGACTTTTTAAAAGAGGAATCAATTTTGATATTCTTTCGAATTTCATTTAAAAATTAGAATGTAGGAAAAATGAGATTTTTACAGTGGCTAGAAAAAATTTGAAATTATAGATGTAATGTTGAAATTATAGAAAAACTGAAAACAAAAATTCATTAATTAAAGCATAAATACACTGTTTCAAGACGTTTAACTGTTCGATCGGACAATAAACAATAGTAACAGAGCTTATAAAACAAACCTGAGCTCTCTACGGTGTCTGGTTAAAAAGTTTTTCTTCAGACGAACGAACGAACGAACGAACATTTCACATTATTAAGCTCCCTTTTTGTATACAAGTATACAAAAATGCGCTAAAAAACTTCACAATTTTCAGCAAAAATAAATTTTAGAAAAATTCGCTTTTTAATAAATCATTAATTTTTAAAAGGTTAATCTTTAATGAAAATTATGCATCCTTACAAAATAAAAGATTTTTAAATCCACTTAGAATTAAAAAATATAAAATATCCACCATGTTTGTTTATGTTGATGTACTATAACTTCATAAAGATTGATGCAAAAGTTTTACTAGTTTTGTTGACTTCAACCAATGCAACAGAACCAACAATCGTTACAAACTAGAAAATATGACAATAAAAATAAATTTGAAACTCTTAAAAATTTAAAATCTTACCATCATCATCTTGCTGTATATACGGGTCTGCAATGTCTTGTGCTACCACTCCTTGATAGTCAATTGGATCGCCTAAAAAGAATTCGTCTGATTCTATCAATGCTAAATTTGATCTTGGCATGAATTGACGAAAATTGGATCTTGGATAAGCTAAAACAGCTTGACTCATCCAAAATATTAATGCCAATAGAGTTAAAGCTTTTAGGTTCATATTTATTCAAAGCTTTTATTTTTAATTGATTACTCGACTACAAACTTATTTCTTTTATAGCTTTTATGCCAACCTTTATACTTGTCAAAATTATTTTTAAACTTGTATGCAAATTAAGCAAATCATGTAAATTTCAATCTTGGTTATCAAAAAAAAAACCGCGGTAAGAACTAGTTAAATTTAAGTAAGATTCAACTAATACTGGCTTGTGATATAAGATTCAGACTATACAAAAGACTTGTCGCCATTAAAATAATTTCACTAGAAAAAATTAAAATTAATAAAATCATTTTAAAAAAAATCCAGCATTATCAGAACACATAAAATAGCTGATAGGCCACACCATAAACAAATTCTTTTTAAAAATCGATTTATCAGGAATTTAAAGATTGGCATTTGCGAATTTCACTTTAAATTAATTCGCGGTTTCACATTGAGGAATTCTATGAATTTTGCGGTGCCAATAAGAAGCTTTTTTGTTATTTTCTCGCCACACAACGTGCTTGAGTGTTATGTCATAATAATTTTTTCGTAAACACCTTTGTATCTGTGCCGCAACTAATGCCAACACTAACAATAAAGCGCCAAATTCTCAAATATCCACAAGAATCGAGAGAAAAATGAAAAGTCATTTCAATACCTTTTTGTAACAGAAGAAAAGAAATTTTATTAGAAGACAGAAGATGAAAAGGAATAATCAACAACAGAACAAGCTTAAGCGAAAGAAGAGCGCGAAATGAAATTAATGAATCATCCACATATTGTGCACATAAACATTCCGTATGATAATATATATGTGTACGATATTTGGAGGCAAAAAATGTATCGAAATTTTCTCAGAATTTCTCTTCATCCGAATTCCACGCATTCCTTGCCTTTACATGTGAAACTTTTTTCTCAAGCGATGTTTATCTTCGCAATGTCTTCGATTCTTTATTTTTTATGCAGTTTGTTGGTGCTATAGGCTGCATTTTGTCAGTTTGAAGTCACTAATGTTGTTTGATAAGTTGAAAATTTTGGTTGTTAATTTTTGGTAAAGTTCATATTTTCTTGATTATTAAAGAAATGCGCTCTTCTGATCTTCAACTTACTTCTTTCTGCGAATTTACGTTACCTCCTTCCAAAGCATGTACACTTATTTATTGTTATTATTCATTCATAAAAATTGTATTGTAGTGATTCACATAAAAGCAGCATTTACTCAACAGTCCATTGTGGTCCATTCATTGTGTTGAGTTCGGCAGGCAATCATGAAATGTAACAAGTCAAATCTACCAAGCATATAATTACTTTGAACGAATTTACAGCAATAAAAAAAAAATCATTCAATACCACTTGTTCGCATAGTTCTTTATTTTGTGCGAGAAGCAGACTGACAATTCGTGGAAAATTGCGTTGATCATAGACTTAATTTTAAAAAAAAAATACAAAAAGGAAAGAAGGCGACTCTTGTATGGGAACATGATTCATCGTAAATATTATGTATTATTGAAATCTTTTTAAAACAGCGAACGCGCTCTCAAAGACATTATAGACAGATATTATATTTCGTGCTGTTGATGATTACCAAATTAGGAATGGAAGCAAAGAAATAATTAATTAATGAAGGAAGCTTGTTGGTTCAATATTATTGTTTATTTGGTGGGAAAATCTAGTCTTTCATCCTGTTTGAGTGTTGCTTGAGCAAATTTGTAAGTTTTTAATTCAAAATAGATTTCTGTAATGGATTTAAAGCATCTTTTGTGAAGAAGTGCAACCTATTGAACTTTCGGAAGAGAAATGAATGAATAAAATTACTTTAGCTGGACGCGCGTAGATCAAACAAATCTTGTCTCAATTATAGTAAAATCAAATAACTATTAAGCAGTATTTGATGTTCTTGACTGGATAGATATTTATAGCAATGTTCGTTTTAATATTTGAAAATGCAGAACCTTCAAAAATCTGAATTTTTGAATTTTTGGAATTTAAATATTTATTGCAATGTTCGTGATAATATTTTGAAAATGAAAAACCTTGAAAAATCTGAGTTTTTGAATTTTTAGAATTTTAATATTAATTGCAATGTTCGTGATAATATTTTGGAAATGAAAAACCTTCAAAAATCTGAGTTTTTGAATTTTAATGTTTTTTGCAATTTTCGTGATAATATTTTGAAAATGAAAAACCTTCAAAAATCTGAATTTTTGAATTTTTGGAATTTAAATATTTATTGCAATGTTCGTGATAATATTTTGAAAATGAAAAACCTTGAAAAATCTGAGTTTTTGAATTTTTAGAATTTTAATATTAATTGCAATGTTCGTGATAATATTTTCGAAATGAAAAACCTTCAAAAATCTGAGTTTTTGAATTTTAATGTTTTTTGCAATTTTCGTGATAATATTTTGAAAATGAAAAACCTTCAAAAATCTGAATTTTTGAATTTTTGGAATTTAAATATTTATTGCAATGTTCGTGATAATATTTTGAAAATGAAAAACCTTGAAAAATCTGAGTTTTTGAATTTTTAGAATTTTAATATTAATTGCAATGTTCGTGATAATATTTTCGAAATGAAAAACCTTCAAAAGTTTGAATTTTTAAAATTTTAATATTTTAATATTTATTGCAATGTTCGTGATAATATTTTGGAAATGAAAAACCTTCAAAAATCTGAATTTTTGAACTTTTAGAATTTTAATATTTATTGCAATGTTCGTGATAATATTTTGGAAATGAAAAACCTTCAAAAATCTGAATTTTTGAACTTTTAGAATTTTAATATTAATTGCAATGTTCGTGAAAATATTTTCGAAATTAAAAACCTTCAAAAGTTTGAATTTTTAAAATTTTAATATTTTAATATTTATTGCAATGTTCGTGATAATATTTTGGAAATGAAAAACCTTCAAAAATCTGAATTTTTGAACTTTTAGAATTTTAATATTTATTGCAATGTTCGTGATAATATTTTGGAAATGAAAAACCTTCAAAAATCTGAATTTTTGAACTTTTAGAATTTTAATATTAATTGCAATGTTCGTGATAATATTTTCGAAATGAAAAACCTTCAAAAGTTTGAATTTTTAAAATTTTAATATTTATTGCAATGTTCGTGATAATATTTTGGAAATGAAAAACCTTTAAAAATCAAAATTTTTGAATTATATCTTCCAAAACATAAATAAAACAACACTTCTAATTCACAAATTATTCATCAAAAACTAGCAATAAAAAAGTACGCAAAATTCTTAGACTTGAGTATGTTTCTATCACTTCATGACTAAGGCCTATGTTATTATGCTATACTTATATACTAATTTTTGACGATGAATCATGTAAATTCTGACCTAAATATATTTCAGACTGTTAAGTAATAATTTGAACTATTCTTGTGAATCATTAAAGAATATCGGGAAATGTATCATCTTAATTATGAATGCTTACAAACGAGAGTATCAAATTATGCGACAGACTTACCTCACATAAGAGAATAATCTCACATTTCATCGATGAAATCTAAATGATTAAATTAATTTTGTCTATCCAATATTTTTTGTTTAAAAACCGCTCAATTTATTTTCTCTATCCATTTATTTATGTAAATGACTGTTCAAAATAAAAGACATAAGTAGATATAGCGAATGTTAAGACAACCACTTAACGACTTCTCTATCAGTCTATTGTAAATTAATGTGAATAGTAATGAATCACAAGAAAACAGCAAGCGAAACGTTTTCAATTTTTGAGGAAGTTTTTTGGAATGATCTGCTTCGATTGTTATTATGTTGACACGATGACATGAAGATACAAGCTGAAAAAGAAATGGATGACATTTTGGCCATGCTTGTTCTTAGTGGGAGATAGGGAGGGGGGGGGGGGGGAGTTCTTTATTGTATACAAAAATTGAGAATGCTTGATTCTCCAATTTCTATTTGAACTTTTTATCAAATTATTAAAACATTCACTAAGACATAAAAATCAAACCACAAGGTCACATCATTCAAAAAAAAAATGCGTCATAGTCTCCCGCACAATAATATTACAGCGAACAAAAATACTAGTTTGACTGAATATGAATGATCAATTAAGTTTTCCAAGAATCGCGATCATTTTAAATTGAAATTTTAATTCCTCGATTTTTAATAGATTTCATCCACATTATGAATTACAACACGCATAGGATATGATGTCATGAAGCATACACAAAATTATGCTCGAGCAAGAAACGTGCAACATCGAAGAAGTAAAAAAAAATCCCCGAAGCTCATTGATGAATCACCGTAAAATGTTTTTTTTTATGAATGAAAACTAAACACAAATGTAGTACGACGTTAAGAGAGGAGAAATACTATAAGAGCATAAGAATGATAAGAGTTACGCAAATGTAAGTCAAATAAGAATGTGTGCTATAAAGATCGCAAATGTGCACCACGTTATTCTCCCCACTATACTCAATACTCGCTCATTATTCTCTCCTCCCGGCTATATCTGTGAATGTATTTTCGATCTCAATTTTTTTCTTCTACCCGCCAAGAGCTTTGAAGATCGAAGAGATCTGCTGTATACGCGAAAAGAAATTAATAAGTCAGTTATATTTTTTTAAGTCGACGATGACGAGGTTAGTTAAGGAATTAATGCAATAAAAAATATCCGGACGACAATTTCGTGACATTTTATTTAATTCTGAGAATTTTTGACAAAATAAATATCAACAAAAATGATAAGGATGTATGGAAGTGATAATATGATAAAATATTGTGAAATTAATTTATAAAAATTCTAGTTCCATTAAAAAAAGTTGTTAGAATGGATGAAATGAGAATTTTGTCAAAATGTAGACAAATGAAAAGATTATTTTGTGATTTGATGCCATCAAGATGCAAGGCAATGACAATGTAAATAGTGCAAAACCCGTTGAAATAAGTGATGATGATGATGATAGTGAGGTCGGGAATGAAAGTGAATCATCAAAGTGTCAAAAAAGAGAGCATGATGATGAGGTCATTTATGTTCCAAATAATCCAAAGACATGGGATGAAAAAGATATACAAAAGTGGACGGAATGGGCATCGAAAAATTTTGATATTAAACCGCCATTGGATGCTTCACGATTTCCAAAAACTGGTGATGAATTGGCAAAATACTCAAAGGCTGATTTTTATATCGTGTGCGGGTCGTTTGAAGGTGGTAAAATGGTGGTCGAGCACTTTAAATACATGATGGGAATTGTATCAGAAAAGTTTGATGAAACTCTTCTAATCGATGGCGATCCAGGTATGCACTTTATTTTATTTTCGTGATATTGTGAAAAGTTCCTGCTCATTCGACTACAAACATGAAAAAAGCTTGTCAACACAAACAACATCCGCTATAAATTTGGGAAAATCCAGAACAGCTACTTGCATAATTTTTGTATGTGAACGTGACTATTTCGTCTGATCTGGTAATAAATCAGTCAACAAGTTTATTTTAATGTTCCATTTTCAAGATAAGGAAATTTTTGGCTAGAAAAAGGAACTGAACTGGACAAAGGAACTTAAATAAAATGTATTACTGAAACATTGTTGCTGGAAATTCCTATAAAGATTACATCAAATGGAACAAATAAAATATAAAGTGAAAAATGAGCCTCTCGGGATTTTGTATTTAATGTCAGGCTGTCCTGATAATAAAAATATTGTTCACTGTAAACATAATACAATTTTAAACAGTTTGACCAATTCTCAGTAAAATGATTAATATTTTTTTTGGAAGATGAAATTATTAAATTGACTAAGGTCAAGAAAATTTAAAGATGCAGAGTTATTTCTTGGAAAATGCATAAGAGAATGGAAATTTATTTGATTGGAAACTTTTGAAGATTTATTAATTCACTTTTATTTCGTTTTTTTGTGATTTAAGATTTAAAGAATCTATCAAATTGTTTTCGAAGTTTAATTTTTTTGAATTTTAATTCTTTTGTAAATTTTTAAACCATTTTATAAGAACTGCTTAACAATTTTATGATTTTAAAACTTTACTATCGAATCATAAGATCTGATCATCATGTTTATTTAAGGATAAGATCTTAAAAAGCTACAAAAAAATATATACATAAGTTTTTTGAATTTACAACATTTTTACTCTAGTAATATTCACCCTAATTGAAAATATAACTTGATATAGTTCCAGTATTGATAACACAAAGCTAGTACTTATCAAAATTCATGGAATCATTCTCTATTTCGCGTCAAATTGATAACATTTACACAATTCAACTGAAACAGCAATAGGACCGACGGCACGACCTTGATTTAATTCTTCTTTCTTGTTATGATTCACAAACATTCTTCATTTACCATTCATAATCTTCACACTTAAACCTTAACACGTTCCATCTCATTTTCTAACTTAATAAATGCTCTCTTCAAAATATGACACAAGAATCCTAGAAAATCTTTTTTATTACACAAATGTTGACTTTTTTAACAATTTTCCTCACCGACATTAGACATTACAGCGCTTCCAAATGAAATTTATTTCTTTTCCCCTAAAAAATTCAACAAAACTAATAAAAAAAATTTTCATTCGAAAAGAGGCAAAAATGTCAGGTCGGAGCATGTCCTTAATCCCATCCGATCGCTGCTGGAAGTCAATTTGAAAGTCAAATGTTATTGCATAAAAGGATCATGGAGCTTCCGAATACATTTGACATTCAACAGAGGAGCAAAATGTAAATAAATTTATGCTAGAGATGGGATGTTGTTGTTGTTGTTGTTGTGCTGTGAATTAAGGATGTGGGGATATTGATTTTTTCTTAAGGAACATTAAGATGGAAAATTTTGATTTTTGGCAAATAAATTTATAATTTTTTTTCAATTGACTTGAATTGGAATTTGCACATAGGCTGATGATTTATAGCTACGATAATTTATTCACCGTATAAACGTACATCCGCTAAAGAATCGTCTACCTTACAACTTCTTATTTTCTTCAATTTCCAAAAAGTATCTTCTGGAGAAAATTCTACTGATATTAAATTAAAATAAATAATGAATAGGATTAAATCCCAGCATGAAGCTATGCAAACATCCAATTTCATCCTATCTATTGATTTTCATTGCCGAAAATCTATCAGAATTAAAATGAATTTCAGCACAAGAATCAGTTAATGAAAAGTCAATCCTTGCTTTTATTTTTATTAAATCTTCTATCGAAATAGCCAATTCAAGGATTTATGTGCTGTAAAGAACACATTCTACCCTTGATTGGATGTCAAGATAAAATCACCACTTAACTTGGTTAAAGGAAAAGAAATCATTTAATGAACTTTATGTGCTTATAAATGAACAAGCTAAATGATAACATAATCTATGACATGCATGAATCCTCTCTTTATCCTCTACAACAATGTTTAACATTCTCACTTGATTTTATTATTATTTTATTCCATCTTCATGATAGTTCTGTTCTGCTGTGAATCTTTCCTTACCGAAGTGCTCTCAGAAGTTGCAATATTATGACTTGCTGTCTGTCTTATGATTGACACAGTCAAGCAGTTGTTCTATGTTTTACTTATTGGCTTGGATAACTCTTGTATTTAAAAATTGTAGGTTTTGAGGCTCTGATCACAGAAACTTGACTCTCCGAGATCAAAAGTACGAAAGATGAAGCTTATAGTTACTCCTTGTAGGCTGAAAACAAACAATTGTTCTTAATAGAGTGACTCTAATACAACTTTGACTCGTAGGTCTTTAAAGCAGTGCTATAAACCTTCTTTTAAGGGTTATGAGTAATTTTGAGGTTAACATCCGTAAATGCGCCTAAATCCTCATTCAACATCCTGAATCCTTTCAACTCCAAAGAGTTCATCTAATAGCAAGAATCACCTCAAGAACTAAGTTAACAAAAATCTTGATAAATTGAAAATAAATCGCCGCATAATTTTGCAATCAACATCTAAATTTAATTCACCCCTAGCAGTAAGAGTTGAAACACATGCCATGAGAAATCACATCCTTAATTCTTGTGCAAACAAAGTCACAATTCAACAATAGTACAGGAAAAACTTCCTCTCATTGTATTTGTGACTATACGAGAGTGCTGTACAGAAGAAAATAAGAACAATAGGAGGCACAGAATAAGTTGTGTGCGTGAGGAAATGCTCACAAATAAAGCGGAAAAATCGTATTTTCCACAAGCTTTTCCGTCGTTCTGTTCTGCTTAGGATATTTTTTTGCAATCCACTCTAGCAATCTTAATCAGTCCTTCATTGTCCTTTGACTGATACGAACGTTTAAAGTTTTAGCAAGGAAGTCAGTCCAAACTGGAATAAAAATGACATTGAAATGGAATTCTGTGAATCAAACGGACTAATAATAATAAAAATTTATGAATCGCTTGTTGAATTCAAATAAATAAATAGGTTGTGAATCATAAGTTCAAAAAAAAATATTCAGAAGAGGCTGCTGACAAAAAAAGAATATAAAGTGGAATAAAGTGAAATATGAGTGTTGATATGTGGCGATTTTCTGAAGATATTAATACTGCACGACGATTTAATGCCGTTGCACGCATGCAGCCACACTGTCCTGTTTTATATAGTGGTAAAAATTTCAATTTATAACGTCACTTGTTGGAAAGTTGCTCATTTTTCTACGAAATTATGACGACGTGATTTTTTTCTTTCCTATTCATGAATCATTGTGCTTGCTTTATGTTTAAAATATAGACATGAAAGAAACAGACTTAACTAGTTTCAATGTTAGCGGATTTGAATTGATAAAAGTGGGTTGGTTTACGGAATTAGCTTAATTTATGAGCTCTTAAGATAATGAATTATTGGAATCGATAAAGTGATATTCTTTGATGGATACCGAGAACTAGAGAAACTCGTGATTTGATAACTGATATTATTAATTGCGTACATGAAGGATACTTTTGCAATCTGTTGATTTGATAATAATCCTTTCAGGCAATTTCTTTGCAGGCGTCCAAAACTGATCAACTGAATTGTGTACATTTTTGGGAATTCTGATCAGATCTAGAGCCTTATTTTGTTTTTGACCACGTAACACTACTAGAAGCAACAGTCTAAATGCTGGAAGAGGCAAATGGTTTTCAGAGACTCATGCTGTAGGCTACTTCTTGATACTAAGCTTCTGTATCCTATTTTGACTTTCGCTATAACAGATTCCACGTATCTAATATAAGACCAATAGTTGAAGCTACCCGGGGCATTAGGAAAGTCAAAGAAAGTATTTATCAATACTCCAAAGTGTAATTAATCAATTATTGATAGCAACTGGAGGGTACAAATGCTGAAACTAGATTGACAATTTTACATCCAATTCAAATAACAAGAGCTATTATTTCAATACTAATTCTTAAGACCAACTGCTGGAGAAAATTACCAAAAGTCCAAGAATGCAACGATCATGTCACTAATTTTCCGTGTATGATTAATTGACTTTTGCATAATTAGTTTGGAAGAATGTTGTGTCATAAAGTATTTAAAAGAAAAAACTACAAATTCAAATCCAAGGAAGTCTCGCCACTGATTCATAGAGCAAAAGATTGTGTGATGTGAAAAAAGTCGTTTGGGAATAACCCAACGTAATATATTGTTTGATTTGAATTCAATTGCACCTTATTCACAAAACGATATTTTCGGTGAAATAATCGACATGTGTGATGTGAATTTGTAATTAGCTGAAATACATGCGTTGAGTATGAGTCTTCTGTATTTATTTTCTTTCTTTTCTTCCAACACCTATGAATCTGTGTTAAGTGATTTAAGATGTGGATATGTTTACAGCACATAAATCAAGCCTTTCCGATCCTATTGGACTTAAAATTCATTGTGGATAGAATTGTTCTTATTAAACAAGCTTTGCCCCACATGAACTAGATTGATCATGACAGTTCTGCATTAAAATTCTAGCAAGACTTTGCAAAAAAACCCAATTTTTATTTTGGAATAATTTACTTCGTACTTTTAAATTAAAACGGAAGCAAATTTAATAGGAATTCAGCATTTTATGGTCAGAATTTCAATTGATTTACTGAATCTAATGTTCTGGGTTCAATCCCAGACCATGTCTAATTTTCGAAGCTCTTTTTCCATTTCACCGTTCTAGTTACGAACTCGGTTCGTTTGCTGGATGTAGTTTTGAGGTCTTTGGCACAGAATCTGCCTCCTTCGCTAGGTATACAAGGATATACTAGCATCTGGATGATTTCCTTAAAGCATCTTGCGCACACGAATTGCGACTAGGTACATTGCAGGGTACATCAGGTCTTATGACGTACTCGTGTCTTTGCAATGTGCAGAGCTTGCAAGTGGTTCGGATCCCACTATAAACTGTAGGTCTAAAGGGTGTGGTTCAATAGATTCTGTTCTTATTGGAATCGCAGTGCCTCCAGCTTAAAGGCTGGGCCCTTCGTACATTATTATTATTATTACTGAATCTAGTTCCGTTTAGTCAAATTTCAAATTATCCAGTTGATATTTTCTAATAAAATCGATCTCACATAAAATTTTAAGAAGCAGCATTTGTGGCATTAAACTTAATTCCTAGAAATGAGACAAATTTTTATTAAGAATGATATCATCAACAATGTGTCAAGACTGAGTTTTGTACAATAACAGACCTGCTTGATTTGTTTATTAAGCTACTTTTTATGTCTTCTCAATATGCATAGATTAATTTTGGGGATATTACATAAGAGGATTCTTTTGATATAATATGAGACTATGGAGAAACTTGTGAGTACGAAAGGAAATTATAAAAATGAAAAAGTCGTGGTATTCGAGTTGAATTGCAATATTTTTCTTTTGGGCACCTTCTTAGCGAATCTAGCAATGATTAAAATATTGCAGAGTTATAAAATGCGGTAAAATTGATAAGATTAAATGGATTAAATAATATTTTGGTGTGAGCTACCAATTTGAGTTCTTAAGAATTGCAAGTTAAGTAGAAATGTTCATTTGGTTTTCTGCGAACAGAGTTTGATAATTTAATCAGTGACATAAAATTGTATTGGCTTTAGTTGCTCACTTCTTTTGGGGTGTTTTTATTGTCGCCATAGCAAATGAAAGTTAAATTTGGATTCTTTGATACTTTTGACTTAAAAATCATAGAGCAAAGCTGATTTTTGAAATTATATATTTCCTATAGGGGCCGTTCACTTATTACGTTCGCATTTTAGGGGGGAGGGGGGTTTGAAAAATTGTAACAAAATGTAACATTTAGGGGGGGGGGGGGTCAAGAAGTATGTAACGTTCTAACTGTCGTCTGTCTTAAAAAAAGTTCAGAAAAAAAATTTGTTCCAAAAAATTCACACCAAAAAGATTTTTCCACCTTTTTAATGATTTATGAAAAATTATCAAAATAAAATAAATTATGAACGTTCAGGGGGGGGGGTTGTGAGTTGTAACATATTGTATCAAGGGGAGGAGGGGGTGGAAAAAGTCGTTTTTTGCGTAACGTAATAATTGAACGGCCCCATGCCTACATATAATGTTTGTGAGCATAAATAATAACCTATAATTAATCGGAATCAACCTAAACTTATTTACTTCCCACATTTCAGTGTAACACCTCCAAAAAAAACAATAACTTTAATTCCAATTTAACAATCTTTAAAAATCAGCAAATCATGCTGATAATTTCTACCGAAATGGATGCTTTTGATCCATAAATCATTTTGTATCGTCGCAAAAATAGCCATTAATTCGTTACGACCTTCTGGCTTTTGAGAATCCATTTAAATTCACAGAGACAAAAAATATGGCGCCGAATGAGAATGAAGGAATTAAAAAAAGAAGCTCAACAGATACCGAGTAAATTCCGTGAACTGTCAGAATGTACAAAAAATATTATAGACACACAATATGTGGAATTTTAGATTCTAAAAAGACATTACGCAACAGTCTCGTCGCCTACACAAAATATGTTTCCTGACAAGATTTTTAAAGCATTTTGTTGAATGAGCGGAATCAACTGTGAAGCTTTAAAGTAAAATTAAATATTTTTGTATGTCTTTTCTCATCCACAGATCCGTATCAACTATTAAACGCTACACACAGATTGGTCGCACAAGGTTCAGGGCAGATACAATTATGGCAATTTTTGTTGGAGCTCTTAGCTGATTCGTCGAATTCTGATTTTATAAAGTGGGAGGGTAAGAAAGAAAAATTATCGATTTTCTTTTGTGCTGTGTTTTGTTGATAGCAAATATTAAGCAGGTTCTAGCTACTTTTTGGAGAATTTAATGTGCTTATGAATTCATTTTGAATATCCAAAGCAGCTAATGATGTTAATTTAATTCAAAATGGCTTGGAGATGAGTTTTGGTGATGATCTTACACGTGTCCGCTTTAAAATGGCTAGAATGTGCTTAATTCAATAAGTTGGTCGATATTTCATCTAAAAGTATCAATTTTTATCCCAAAAATCAGGCACAGCTGGTGAATTTAAGCTAATTGATCCTGATGAAGTGGCTAGACGATGGGGTGTGAAAAAGAACAAGACAAATATGAATTACGATAAGTTAAGTCGTGCATTGAGGTGATAAATTGCAAATTAACAAAATATCCAGCAGAGAAGTCATTAAAACTATTTATTTACAGATATTATTACGATAAATCAATAATGACAAAAGTCCATGGTAAAAGATATGCTTATAAATTTGATTTTCATGGTCTGATGGCAGCATGTCACTCTCAGGCACAAGGTTGTGATCCAACAACAAGTTTATTACCAAAATATCATCCACATTTACTCATGTCAAATGAATTTTCCAATTATGCATCTACATCGACAGCAATTCCAAGTTCCAGTACAAATCAAACAACTGCCCCAATGGCTGTATCAGTATCAAGTTTTAAGCCAATCCAATCATCATTGTCGACAATTTTACCATCATCGACAATTCCTCAAACGACAGCATCACACACACCAAATACAAGTGTTTCGGACAGAAGTCATATTTGGCCATACCTGCCACCCTCAAACTTTTAAAAAATAAATCTCAGCTTATTTGTAATTTTAATTGTCAGCATTAAAAAAGGCTATTCTGATCTCAAAAATCGTTTAAAAAGCACGTAAAGGACAAACTTTATGGAAACATTTTTTTTCTGTCCCTTTTTTTCTATTGTCTCATAATTTCCTGTAAATTGAATTGTTGACTAATGAACAATCTGACCTTTCTTGCTTCCATTTCCTTCATTCGCATTTAGAGAAATTCAACTTTAGGTTTTACTTGAATAATGAATCACTTTTAAATATGAGAATCATGAGTCATACTTAATATTTAATTTAATTTTTTTTTTACAATTTTTTTGTTTTGTTTTAATTAAGTTTTAATTACTCATGTTAGGCTGGATTCGGAAGTGTTTGGATCAGTGTTGCAAATGTAGATGTCTACACTAGATGAAGAATGTAGATTCTTCAATAGTTTTTGTCTAGCTAAGAAACTTTCTTCATAAAGATCGATTCTACATGAAGATAGAAAATCTAATCTACACAAAGATTTTTTATACATAAAGATTCTGTCTACATAAAGATTCGATGTAGATGTCTACAATTCTACATTTTTTCCAGGTCTACATCAGAGAAGAATGTAGAATTGTAGACATCTACATCGAATCTTTATGTAGATAGATTCTTTATGTAGAAATAATCTTTGTGTAGATTAGATTTTCTATCTTCATGTAGAATCGATCTTTATGAAGAAATTTCTGTCTCAGAATTTATCTGATCCAGACAAATGACCAGAATGCAACACTGGTTTGGATTATTGATGGTAATTGTGGGAATGAAGAACAACATTGATTTCAAGATTCTTTGAAATTTAAATCGAATATCACAAGTCGGATAATCGAGATTCGAGGGGGGGGGGGGGGGGGGTGTCAGCAAGAAAAGAAAAATTGAATTTCCAGGAAATCCATTGTTCTTTTTTGAAACATGACATAAGTGAATGGCTCCTTAAAAGCCTCAATAAAAATCTCCAAAAACCACTTCCATCTTCAGCCACAGATTTCTCATTCTATAAAAATACCTCAGATATTTTTAAAAATGAATAGTTCATAAGATATAATCAAATTAATTAGAAAATCAAATCAAATGCTCAACTATAGTAATATAGGACATTCTTCACGTCTTTATAAATCAAATTAATTATCAATATAGATGTTAAGTAGGTGTTTTTTTGTAATTTTTTCAAATTTAATTAAATTCTTTGTTGTAATAAAAATTTAAAAAATTGAAGCTAATTGTTTGTTTTTTAATGCTAATCTTTTGCAGCCACAAATTTAAATTCAATGAATCACAATTTTCGCTTATTTGTTTGCGATTTATTTTAATAATTTTCAAATTGATAGCGAATTTTGATAGCAAGCGAGATGATTCATTGGAAGTTAATGCCTTTATTGATGCCCCACAGTAATGAAATCACTAATCATTGCTTAGTCACTACTGACCTTTAGTAGATTTTAATGATTGTATTGATTATTTTTTGTTTCCTACTCTTCACAGCTAGACTCATTGATAAGTTGAATGAATTTTTAGATCGAGAAGAAGGAAGTTGAAGTCATCATTATAAGAATAATTCTCTCGTCATACAAGTAGCTGTGGATAATGCATATTTTTATGAATAATAACTAGAAAATGTTTGCTTTACTCGTACTCGGTGTCTGCTGTGTATCATACCTCAAACTTAAGTCAACAATTCTTATCATTCAGGTGCACAATGAGTAATTATAAAAATTATTTTTTTCATTAAGGACATCAATTATGACGTCCAAGGGGGGGTCAGCAAGAAAAGAACAATAGAAATTTCTGGAAATCTATTGTTCTTTTTTGAAAAATGACCGTTAATTTCGGACGTCATTAGTGAATGGCCCCTGGGAATTATATCATAGAAGACTTGGGATGGTACAACAGATCGTCAACTGCAGTGCTGTTTTGTTTTACAAAATAATACTTTCCGATATTAAATCAAATGATGCAGAAGAAGAAGTTTTTTTCTAATTTCCTGTATAATTCGAAATTAAAATCACCAAAAACCAGTTTACATTAATTGTAGGCAGGCAATAGCAGCAACACTGTTTAATAAAAACGAGTTTCGGCTACAAACGAACCCCTAAACAAAGAGCAGCATATAGCCGTCCCTTTCTATCACACAAACAACGAACATCAGAGCGAGAAAGCAGCAACAGCTGTGAAAATTCAAACCAAGCCACATTTTTAACTGAAATTTGACATTCTATTCGACCAACTTAATAACATTATTTTATATATAAAGCATTATTTACTTTTATTTATCGTATGTGAATTACAATCAGTTTATGCACATTTTGTGACACGAAAATTGTAAACTTTTCATTTATTTTATGAATTAAGCTTATGAATTTAAGTATGATTTGTTTAATTATATAAACTAACATTGTTTTTAAAAAGTTGCCCTTAAGCTATAAATTAATTATTGTATAGGCATTATCACTAATTTTTATGCATTTCTTTTTAGTCTTAATCAACCCATTTTTTTACATATTTTTTTTTGTATTTTCCCGAGATTATAATTATGACATAAACTAGCTCTCAAAGGAGCTAAAACATAAAATTTGATAATTTTAAAACAATTATTAAACATCTTTTTCTATGACTGACTTATAAATCTATTGATAGCATACTAATAAAATCGTATATTATACTCATAATTAAATAACTTAAATTATAATAGAGCAAAAAGACCCAAAAATTGACATTTATTTAATTTTAACGCATGTTGACTGTGAATTTTTTGCGTTTTATGTGCGAGTTCTACATCTACGCACTAGCTTCTTTTGTTCTCTTTTAATCGCTTTAATTAATATCTAAGCACAAGAAAGAAAATAATCTAAATCTCATGTAAGAAAGTTAATGTAATTTGGCATATTGCGAACAGCAAATGGACATAAAATTATGATTAGACTGTATGCATTTGTGATGTGTATATTTTTTTATAACTTTTAATTAATTGAGACAACATAATAATTTTACTGATAGAATTTATCAACAACTTCTTTGTATTTATCGACAATGAAACTTCTCTTAGTCTTCATTGTAGGTCCTAATTCACCCGTTGGAATGGTAAAGTCGTGTGGTAATATAGCAAATTTCTGTACCTTTTGTGCATTTGAGATTGAATTTTTGTTAGCACGTGTTACGGCTTCTGTAAGTGAACTCATAACTTTTGGATCGGGGCCAGCAGCGAGAATCTCTTTTAATGTTGTATATTTAAGGTCCATTGATTCAAGCCATCTTAAAGTCTCTGGTGCGAGTTCATTCTTTGGTGCTCCCTCGCTATCCATTTCAGTCTTTAATGTAATTAACATTGTAAGGAATTTACGCTTATCACCAATAAGTAATGCATTAGATATCGCTGAGCATTCACTCTTGACGAGATTTTCTATGTGAACAGGTGGAATATTTTCACCTCCAGCAGTTATAATGATCTCTTTAAGTCTTCCAGTAATGAAAATATATCCATCATTGTCAATGTATCCAATATCTCCTGTATGTAGCCAGCCATCATCATCGATTGCTTCCATAGTCTTTTCTGTCTCATTAATATATCCCATAAATATATGACGTCCACGCAAGCAAATCTCTCCGTGTCCTTTATCATCAGGACAAACAATCTTTGTTTGTGTTCCAGGTGCATTTCTTCCGATTGATTCAAATGTTGGGTCATGTAATTGTCCCATACAATGTCCTCCAGTTGATTCCGACATTCCAAAAGCTTCCAAAATTGGCATGTCAAGACTCATGAAATATTTCTTTGTGTCAACACTCATTGGAGCTGAAAATAATGGAAAGTTGACATTAATACCTTGACATTTTATGAACTTTAAGATTTTCGCTTACCTGCACCAGTTATAAAGTATTTGCATCTACTGAAGCCCAAAGCTTGTTTGACTTTACTCATTATCAATTTTGTCGCAAGTTTGTATTGAAGAGAAGCAGATGGACGACCAGCCATTCTTTCCATGTGATGTTTAAGAGTAGCACTTTTTGCCCAACCAGCAACAACACGTTTTAATGCACCTGATTGTGCTCCAATTTGCATCATTTTCTCTTGGATCTTTTCATAAACACGTGGAACACCCAGAAAGCATGTAGGACGAGCATCAGTCAACGTTTTCACTAAAGTTCCTTTAAGTGCATCTTTATCAGCAAAATATACAGTAGCGGCAATTGTCATTGAAATGAAAATGTCGATAATTTGTGCAGCAACATGTGACAGTGGCAGATAAGAAACGAGAACTTCTTTTCCCATTTGTAGACCATCAACATAGACTGTAAAACTGTATGCATCCCATGTGAAATTATCGTGTGTAAGCATAGCGCCTTTTGGCTGTCCAGTTGTTCCTGATGTGTAAACCAAGCAACAGCATTCATTTGCAACAATGCTTTTAAGTCTTGCTTGATACTCTTCCTCAACGTCTGCTGTATTCATAGCTTCAAGTTCACTCCACCGATAATAGCCATCAGCACGTTTAACATAAGGTGCATAAGGTGATAAGGTCTGAATGATTGCCTTCAAATGTGGTAATTTATCTTTAATTGCATGAATCTTTTCCATTTGTTTAGCATCGTCAACGACAACAATGTTTGCTTTACAACTCTCGAGCACATAAAGAACTGACTCTGTTGAATTTGTTGTGTAAACTCCAGCAATGGTGCCACTATGTTGAAATAAATAATGAAATGAAACCAATCAGATTATATAATCAATTAAAATGAGACTGTATGCACACGTGCATACATAAAAGATTGTTGAAAACTTTTCTTGTTAAAAGGTCAGTTTGAGATATTAAAGGAATTTCCAAATTTAAATTTCAACGGGTTTTTGAAATTTTGAATCATTTTACGAGTTTCTTTAAAGTTTCGTTAAATTTTTGAATCACAAAAATCCGTTAAATTTAAGCTTCAGCAATAAAAAAAAGTTGAGTCAAGACTTACCCAGCATGAATTGCAGCCAGTTCCGACACAAACCATTCAACACTATTGAATGCGAGAACAGCGACAGTTCCATGACGTTCCAAACCGAGTTTAATGAAGACTTTTGCCATCTTTTCAACTCGTTCTTTATATTCTCGATATGTTATAGTTTGCCATTTCTTTGTAATTGGATCTTTAGTCATTAGTGCTGGATGATTTCCATAATTTTCAACAGTACGATTCATTAATGCGGGAACTGTTATTGGATCTACAGATGCTGTCTTGTCACGTAAATTTTGAAACAGTTTGACTGGCTTGGCTGGATCTGTTACACGAAACTCTGTGGCTTCGCGCAATGCTACTTGCTTCATCATGACTTTTAATTTTGTTTTCTTCTCCTGTTCCTTTTTCTTATGAAAAATGTTTTATTTTATTATCGTAAAACCTGCAAGTGAGACGAATAGAAATAAACTGTTAATTAATTCGTGTATGACTTATATTTTAATTAGCTATGCAATGCGATAAGATAAATGAAAACTCGAAGGTATTTCGCAGAAATTGTCGAAGTTGAAGCTTAATATCAGTTTGAATGAATTAGACGCAACAGCAAACCTATTTATGAAGAACAAATCATGATTAAAAATTGATTGTGATGAACTTGTAATAACAGCCTTCATATATGGACTTACACATAATTGTTATAAAGTTCATTTTGTACAAAAATTGATAATGGATTGTTAGATTGTTGATAGAGTAATAACACTAATCAGCACCAAATAACAATTTCAAGTATCAGTACCTGATACAATTTAATTTCTCACAATTGTTTTGTCCACACGAAATCAGACAAGGCTCAAAGTTCATTTAAAAATACTTGCAAGATCATCATAACTTGTATTTTATAGTTCCTTTAATAGGGTTTATATTTAATGAACAAAAAGTATAAATTCGTAGCTATCAAGTGCTGTTGCTTTAAATGCATGCTCGTGCCGACTTGCAAAAATGTACAAAGGTTCAAAGTTGTGACACAAAGTGCTATTTAATTTCGTTTGATCAGCAAATTATTAACTTATCAAGCAGATACTTATCAATGTGATCGTCAATATCATGATAAACTCACGATTGATTACCAGAAACTACTTAATCGATATCAAAGGTGCACAAAATGACACAAATTGCTCAATACTCGTCAGTAAATGTAAATTATCAGTCTAGCTGAGTGACGTTGATTGTTTGGAATAATTTGTGCAAAATAAAATGAAATGTAGACTTTGATACTTTGCTATTATTCAATCAAAATAGATTTTTTTTCTCTCTTACAAAGTCATTGCCATTGTCATTTTAGAAATAATCACAAATGGAGAAGACGACTCACTCGTTCATATATTCATTCATATAAAAATAAGAGTGATGCATAGATGTTCTCAATTATTATCTTTATAGGCTTAATATGAGAATATAGAAGCTCCACGTGTATATTATTATTCTAAAAAGACAATCACAAAAGCGCACGTTTCATTAGAAGAATTGAAATTGAGATGAAGTGTCGTCGAATTTCGTTGTGAATAATTGAATTGCTCATCAAGACTTACATCCACGGAATTAATTAATTGAGAAAATATGCAAATGTATCAAATTTATCAATTAACGACTTTTCTGAATTTAAATAATTTTCAGGTCAAAAAGGTTTAAAACTTAACGATGATTTTTAAAGTTATTTTTGACGGTTTTATCAGTAAAACCTGATATCAAGCTGACATACAAAATTTAATTCAAGTTAATCACATGCTAGTCAGTGAGAACCGCTTTTTCTCCGTTTCGTACTTATCTAATCAGTCATGTGCTAATTACTAAAGGTTTCTCGATTGCTGCAATAATTTTTTTAAGCTTAATTTTGTCAAATTATCGATAACATCGTCGAATTGAGATCAAAGGAATTAAAAATGCGGAAGGTAAGCAAGCTCTTTAAATATTTCAAATTTAGGTGATGAAGAAACCAAACGAAGCTATCAAAAAGAAAGAAATGAAAGAGAGAAGAATGTCGAAATGCACTTTTTGCCTTCCTCTTTTGCCTTATTCATTCACAACAATCCCATGAATATGCGATGTTGGGAAAAAGAGAAAGAGCAAATGACTACGAATGAGAGTCAAAAAAGAAATACCGTAAAAATCATACGATATTTTTATGAGGGTGTGGTACTATGGCAATAATATCGTACGATGCCGTTGTATTACATATAATATACTCTATGTCTATGTCTGCGACCGACTGATGTCCCCTTTGCTTGCTTTTTTTAAAGTATATATTCATCTACTAAAAATAAAACATCGTACGATATTTTTTTATATTTTATTTCTTGTTATTTTTGCAACTCGATGCGAATTTAAATAAATTTTTTATTCACAAATGCCGAAATCTCTCTTGATTGGGCTACTTTAAGGCTGCTTTTTCCACTACTAATTAAGTCTATAAACTAAAGTAAATGACTCGTCTATTTCCACATTGGAATGTCTATTTCATCTTGTAGAGTTGTTAACATATTGACAGATCTGAGACAGTTGGGTAATTGAGAGACATGTCGTTGATTGCGCATAATAGACTATAGACAAAAAATCAGATGATCTCACAAATGTGTATCGTGACGCACGATAAAATACAGTAGTTTTACTTCTACAAGCTAGAATCAGAATTCCTTGAAGGCCGTTTATTGTTTGGCATTGAAATGCTTCTGTATATAGCAAAAAATAAACAGTACAAGACATCGTACGATGCGGAATAAAGAGAGAGATGAGAGAATAAATGGAATGGAATGTTAGATCTAAAATGCAGGCATGCATTCTATTGATTCTGACTTGATCTATTGTTTTGGGCTTCTGAATGTGAATGGATCCTTCTATACCTTTATTTTTTAAGTTCGTTCCTTATTATCACTGATTATTGCACTCACAAATTGCCAAAAATCCTTAAGTCACTGGATCTAAATACTTTCGATTAAAAGTTTGAACAGAACTTCCGGGAAGCACTGATAAAGTTCAGTCTCAGCTTATAGCTGTTTAACAACAAAAATTAATGTACATTAAGCAATATTTTGGATACAATTTTGAAGGTTTAAATGCTCATTAGTCGGACAAACAGAATTAATGACAGCTTTCAAGAAATTATGCAACGTGTCGTTGATATTTTGAGGAACATTGTTAGCCGCGTGATATCGCGAATGAATGAGGCACTTGTACAGGAAAAAGAAATATCGTACGATTGGTGATGATGCATACTTTATAGACACAAAATTCATATATATTTCTGAACGTTTTCTTTTATCTTTTGACTCGCATATCTCACTATTATTATTATTATTATGATGATTTAGCTATTTACCAGTTTTATTTATCCACTCGAATGCTGTTTATTGCAACTGTCTAATGCAATCTTAATGGTTTTGTTTTTCTTCTGCTACTTATTAACTTTCTATTATAAATTTTCTTTTATTTTCACAACTTTACAAAAATTCAACTATTCAACACGAAATATCTATAAAGACTGTTCAGAGATGCTCGATTTCTTTACACTTTTCTTCTATTCACACAATGTGCTTCCAAATGCTGTATATCCTGTGACTGCTTTGATTCACTTTGACTGACTGACTTAAAAAATTTTGTTCCAAAGATGAATTGATTGTTTTCTTCTGTTTCCAGTATGTTTTGTGTTAATTCATCTACATTTTGAAGTTGTAAGCACTAGATTTAATTAATTACTTTAATTTTAATCATTAATTCAGATGGAAAAGTCAAGTAAAATACCTTGGAATTATTCTAGATACAAAATTAACGTACAAGAGTCACGTTGATTGGATATTGCGAAAAGCAAAGTCTGTTGCGTTCTCTCAGCTGTATTGCTTGCTTAAACGAAATTCGGGAGTCACAGTTGATTCAAAACTCAGAATTTATAAATCTATAATAAGACCAGTCGTCGCTTATGGATGTAGCATTTTCATTAATTGTGCAGCTTCACACTTAAACAAAATCCAAATTTTCCAAAATAAAGTTTTAAGATACGTTCTCGACATCAATTGGGATGATTTCGTCTCAAATCTTGAAGTTCATAGTCGAGCAAAGATTCCATTCATGGCTGATTTCTTCAATAAGCTTACAGTCAACTTCTATCATAGAATTGACAGTCATAAGAACACGTTGATCAATAATCTTGGAAAATACGACTACTCTCATCTTGAATATCGACTCAAACACAAACTTCCAAGACCTGTAACATTACTTTAAAAGTTATGGGTATCATTATTTAGTTCCAAGTGGTTCTTCTAACTACTTTATATGTTTTTTATACTTACCTGAGTACTTATTCACTTTTTTTTTTATATAAAATTTTCCTCACGTTGGGTTGCTTTTTTCAAATTTTTAGCCCATATTAACAATTCACTCATTTAACTCATAAACTTCACATTATCTCCATAAACTCTCATGCTTCAATAATGAGTTAAAACCGCAAAGGTTGGTATCATTAATGTTAACTGCAATTATTGTAAAAAAAAAACAAATCTACCAAAGTTCATTACAATAAAGACTAACTTTCTTTCTTTCTTAATCATTAAGCATCAAACGGAAATTAAGAATTCGAAAATTTAAAAGCGTTGACTTATCTTTAATGTGTCACCTTTGTTTTTTCAGATTCAATTATTTCTTCATTAACGGATAAAATCAATTTAATTAAATTATTAAGGATTAAGTAGGTGTTGGAAGCAAATAATCACATCCGATAACACAGTAAGTGAAATAATAAACGACTTATAATCAAATGAATCAGCAATAAAGCTTGTATCATGTGAAAATTCATGAATGTAATATTGCCAATCATTTCGTAAGAAAGTGCGCCTTACACAAGCTTATATTACTTGATATTTTACTGTATCAAGAGAGCGAGAGAGTAAAATAAGCCGGGAGAGAATTATAACAACAATTGTATGGGGAAAACTCAACAGTTGGATGGAAAAAATATCGTACGATACTTTTTACTCTCTCAAAAAATTCAGTTACGCAGTTATAGCGTGGCATAAAGGCATCAATATATTGCTAACAAAAAACTACGATTTTAGAAGGAAAATTATGAAATGTTGCCAATGTTAGTATGACGTGGACAAACAAACATCTTTGTGCACACTAATCACGTATCAATTTTACTTAATTTACTTATCAGCTTAATATTAAGCACGAGATGCACTTTGTACTTAATTAAAAAATAATGCTTGTACACAACATTTTAAGAAATCAATGTCTAGCCTCCATAAATCATCTTTAAAAGTCAAAGTTTTATCACTAAAACATATCAGTAGTAAACTAAAGAATCAGTCAGGGATATGACTTTTTTTATGGACATCTATAAAATCATTATAACCTTTGTTACTGTATTTGATACCTGAGAATGTTTATCTAGATGCTTGATGGTAATTTTGTTGGATAATAATGCGGTCTATGCAGTTGCCGGATCTAGAAATGTATAATAAAACCCTGACAAATTGAATTTTCAAACTTTAGAACCGGATAGACGAATAAGAAGAATGAACTTTAAAATATTATGACATTACTAAGTTGTAATCACGAAAAGAAATTCCAAAAAGATAGGGTCAAAAAAATGTCATCAGAAGTTGTTATTCAAAGATTAACTCTGTAATTTCATGTCTTTTAAAAAGTGCTGAAAGTCACTTGATAGCAATTGTCATCCAAACTGCTCCTTAGAGCATACATAGTATTGCATGCAGACTAAACATAGCTGATTCAAATATTGCCTCTTGCTGGTTGCTATATGATTAACCAATAGTTCAAAATCACATGCTAACCACGGCAAAAATATTAATTTGCACATGCCTTCTTTTGAATATTCATTTGCTTGACTTGCTACATATCGCGTCTAGCAACATATGAAAGAAAATGACTTTTTCTTATGATATTTTTAGAAAATAGAGTTCACATGTTCTTTATGGCAGATAATTTTTGTTATTTTACGCAAAAGTTGATAATGAAAAAAAAAGAAATAAAAATAGATAGAAAGCAAAACAAAACTGATTGAGGAATAATTGCGGCAGGTCAGGAATTCTCAGTTGAAAAAAAAAAGTAAACGCTTCTTTTCATTCTTAAAGTTCTCGAGCATGACGAAACCAATTAAGTCACATGACTCACCCGGCTTGTTAGTAAATAAACAATCTATTATGAATAGTTCCATGGAATTTCGCAATACACTGACTGTGTCAGAATGATAGTAAGGAAAAAAAAAATCATCCGATGCCCAAAAAGTGTGAAATGTATTTTAATAAGTGACGTAAGCACTAACATTGCGGGATTCCATTAATACATCCAAATGAAAGAGAAAACAAAACATCGTATGATCTTCTCTTTATGAATAATACATGATTAATGCGAATAATAACAAACATTTTGACCTCCTTTACTACTTCGTCTCTTTCTGAATGTCCTAGTGGATATCATGCAATTAATTATTATTCAATTACAATTATCGAAGTGCCCGAAGCATTTTATCCTTCAATAGCTAACTTTTTTCAAATACGGAATTAATCGACAATTATCTGAATGTTTGTAAACACGAGCTGAATTATTTATTTGCAGCAAAAAAGCTTTGAAGGTAGATAATTTTTGTTTATAAACAAAAACTGATGAAATATATCTTAAAACAGGTGCTTGACGTTGATGCATTTTTGGTTAAATTGGGCAATAATAAACAGGTTTTTCAATTTTTATTAAGATGCATTAATTAATTTACAGTCGCTGTTCTTGACCAGCTTGACTTCATTTTTTTTTTTTCATTTTGTTAAGTCAAGACACATTCGTAGGAGTAATAAGGAAGTTAATTGAACTTTCACTGGAAGCACGTATCGTCAAATAAATCAGCCGAATAAGGTCATGTCCAAATCAATATTGATCAGGTAGCTTTTTGCGCATTTTAAACAAAGCAACGAAACATCACAAGACAAAAATAAACAAATTTAATCTTCAGTATTTTCTCTTATCATAAATTAGTGAATATATTTTTGGAAATAAGTTTATAAAGTTTCCAATTTGCTCATGGGTTTTTTGTCACATGTCAATCAATGCTACATCTTCGTGAAAATCAGTTGTCATTTCAAATTTGCTATAAATTTTGATTCTAGCAGAAAAAATTCCAGCAGTTTATAAATATGAAATTGGAAAAGTCGTTATTTTTATTGCAAAAACTATTTTCTACAGATGAATAATTTTTTGTCTGGATATGAGAAATGATTAATTGTAATTTTAATTGCATTTAAATTTCAACTGAACAGTTTTTATGATTATTTAATGTTAAATTAATTCTAAGGCTTCTCCCCGGACTCCCATACTGTTGATTCTAACGGTATTCTTGATTTATGCCTGTTTGTAACATCCATCGCTGAATCATGATCTCCCGTTCTCAATCGCTTACCCCAACTACTTTTACCGATACCTTAAAAATAAATATTAATGAGAAAAAGAATTAGGATGAACGTGATTTTTGTTTCTTGTTCATACTTCTCGCCATCCGATGACTAGTATTATTATCTCGTATAGCTGATAATAAATCGTCGTACTCTTGAGCTTTGTTAAGACCGTGTTGGTATTTTGCTTCTTTGGCCAATAATTGTTCACGTTGCATTTGAGTTTTTAACTCACTTGGTATGTCAGGTATAATGAATTGCATAACTGCCGTTATCACAAATACAAGATGCTCAAAAATAACAACAAATGCTAAGCGGGCAGCAAAAACGTGCCAATAAACAGGACTTAATCCATATGGTTCTGTATCATTATGCGGTTGTCTATATCCACGATATCTACACGTATCAGGATCATTCTCATTTTTTGTACCCCACTCCTCACGATAATCAGATGTATTAAATACTGATAGACTATGATATATATAGCCCTGCAAGTCATTTGTTGGCGAATAAACAAATTTATACACCATTCTTGGTATGAAATCGCTTGTGTATGCTATCACAAAAGCCTGAAAACAAAAATAGATTTGGATGCTTTTTCCTTTATTGTTGATTCTTGGTATGAGACTTACATTCGAGACAACAGCAACATAAGTTATGATTTTGAGAATCCCAAACCTTTAATTTAATAAATGAGAAAGATCAAGTTAGTAAATCAGACAATATGAAAAATAGCTAATTTAACGATTCTTTGCTTTATTGCTATTTTTATACTCACCATGCGCCTAATGTTGTTAATGCGTTGAAGGAAAAAGAAATAAAAGGAAGGCAATAATTTAAATAATTAAGAGAATGACGGCACTATAAAAGAGAAGATTCATAATGAACAAAAATTACCAATGTCTTCAACTCTTTCTGCCAAAGGACGACGAGATTGAGATACCATTTTGTATGCGTCAAGACGAATTTCCGTGATATTATTAATAAGAGCTTCAAGGATAAGGTAAAATTAGAATTATAGAACATGTAATAAATGCTTTACTCACCAAAAAGAGGTGCTAAAGGAAATGCAGCAACAAATAATGTCACAAATCCATATTGAATGACTGCGATAAAAAGAGATTAATTTTTTAAAAAAGTCATTTCGAAGGATTTATATTGAATTTTTTTTTTTTCAATAACGTACTCATCTCGAGATATTCGTCAAATAAAGCCAATCGACCGGGATCTTGGAGATGAAAATCTTGCTCCCATGACTGTCGCGCATGATAAAAATTCAATTTCATGAAAATGATGACTCATTAATCCGTTCTATTCATATTCATCTTACCGTATGCATATGCTTTTGATCCTTTGTTTCCCTCCGATGCTTAAACTGGCGCCACCAATTATAAAAAGCGCTACGAAGCAGATAAAAAATATGGGGCTGTGTTCACTTATTACGTAACGCGAAAAAATGACTTCTTAGACCCCCCCCCCCCCTCGTAACAAAATTTGTATGAAAAAAAAATTTCCTTGTTTGAACCGTAACAAAATCTTAGACCCCCCTCCCCCTAAAAGCGTTACGTAATAAGTGAATGGCCCCTATACAATAAGAATTAAATCGAAAACTATATGAATTGAACATACGGATAGAGATACTCCATAAAATTGTTTACAAACTGCTTGCCAATCATGATAATTGAGAGTTGAATGCACAGCTCACTCAAACATCCAGCTGGATCGCAAATATCACCTTTTAGTTTGAAAAATTCACTTTTTCGCGCTTCATCGTCGCCTATGTTAAGGTAGAATGGATGAAAGTTCAAATTCAAAATTGAATTACATACTTTTTGCTATGCAAATTTACCTGGATAGTCGAAAAAGCGTCCCTTGAAAAATGCAATGTAAATAAGTGATGAATAGTAGTTCATAAATTCAAATACAAAGATTTTAAATGTGTACGAGTCTTCGTATTCTGTTTGCGTTCGTGGATTTTCCAATGATGTTAAATAAATTGCTAAACGATGATAAAGCTACGTTTCAGCAGATGAAATGAGAGAAAGAAAATTTATTTATTCAATATCCATTCAAATGTTATCCTCGAGCAAGTCATGATCTGAGGTGAAAGTCAGAACTATTTTTAGCAAATAAACCAAATTTCACCCTTGAGCCATAATAATAAATTCTCATTACATGGAAAAAAAATCCAAATATACCTTTGTAAGAAGCATAATTATTATCAAGTTAATTAGAGCAGCTGTCATAGAAGTAAACAGTTTGGCATGACTTTTAATAAAAGCACCATCGAATCCGCTATAAATAATTGATACCAACGATATACGATATATAATTGTCCCCAAAACTGCTCCCATTACGACGGAAATCATGAAGCAGACAATCGATCCTGTTGCCATTAAACGAAAAAATCGACTCCAATATGTCATGTAGGGCTGGAAAAGAAAGGCAAACATAAAAATAAATCAATTAAGAAATAAATAAATATATATTCGGTTTTAGTATAAAAAACCTCCTTCTCTCGTGTCACAGGATTAATTCTGAATGTTTTGACAGATGTCTCAAATTCCGGTCTTGGATCTTCATCATTCTCAATACCTTGCAAGTCCCATTCCCAAATAATTATCTACAAATAGATTTTTATATGTGTTATGTATCTTCAGAGTTTAGACCCGGATATTAAATTTTCTTACCGATTGCTTTCTTTTCCATAACTCAAGGAATGTTGTAGCCCATAAAGACATAAAAATAGCAAAAAATACTGTGGCTGGATTATCGAATAAATACGTAATTTGAGCATATAAACATGAGTCATGTAATATTTGATAGCTGCATGCTTTATCACATAAAGGACATAAAATTGTTCTTCCTACACCAAATTCATCACACATCTCTTTGCTTGGCGTATTATCATCACTATTCATTGTTGATATACCATAAATGAAGCATAGGAAACCGACGATTGCTGGTGGCACGAGTGACCATGTATAAAAACCGAGCCAACAGAAGTACAATGCAATCTTATCACCAAAATACTTTCTAACGAGATATAAAGGCTGTCTTTTGTACCATGTCTTAAACGGATGAGCCCACTCGATGTATAAGAGCTGTCATAAATTATTAAATTGATAATTTATAATCATTTTGTGTGTAAAATATGAGTTTTGAAATATTTTAAAGAAAAATGGTTGTGGATGCTACTGAACGATGAGAGAACTTATGGTTTTGAGTGATGTGAAGCATTTTTTTGCAAAATGTCAAGTCCAGTCACTAGGCCAAACTGAACAAGAACAGACTTCATGTGACATAAAAAGCTCAATTGATAAATGTCATTTTGAAAAACAACTTAAGTGGAAAAGTTTCCCTTTTTTTTTGTGTTGCGACAAACTTTCCATTTCCATGTTCAACATTGTCATGACTAAAATGCAAAAAGTTCTTCACCCTCTCATCCCATCTATCGTTCAGTAAGACCCGACTTATAAAGTTAATAAATTTTCTCTGTCTCAACGTACTCTTCGATCGAGCATAGCCCCTGATGAATGCGGTTTATCATAACGTCCCTCGTGCAATGGAAAGCATCCAAGATATGTTCCATCGTTTAATAATCTCCTTATGCCACATTTATCTCCATCATCATATTTTGTTCGTAACAATATCTGAAATACTATCATACTACGTTGAGCACCATTGTAATGTGTCATTCGATCTTTTACGATAAATTGCTCTTCGCGATTTCCACTAGATGTTGCTGAGTAGAACGATGGTTCTTTCTCGATTAAGCTGTAGTCATACTCCGTAATTATTTTAAAACTTGTCCAATATTTCTTGTAGAGAGCGTAAAACTTTCGAAGAAATGCATGTTTATTAAAAAATAAGGGATTCTCGTCGCTGTTTTGCTTTACACTTATTGTTATGAAACGTTTAACGGGTAACCTAAGGTTCAATACTTCAGCATATCTTGATTCAGCTCTCCAAGGCAAGTGAATTTTTACAAAATATGTTTTCTCATCAAATGACTGACTTTTATCTTCAATCTCAAGATCAAGACCCTCTTTAATTAAACAATCGTGAAAGACTCTCCTTTGTTCACGTTGAATTGCTTGTTGTTCTGTCATAGCACCATCATATTCTTCCTCAAAGCACAATATCATATCTATCTTACGTCGACCATCACGAAAGAAAAGTGAATCGGGATCTTCTCGAAGTTCAGCATCTTGTTTGCTTGGACGTCTCTCAGCACTATCGTCACCGTGAATGACTTCAATATCATACTCATGCGTACCAGCATAAAGTGAAATTTCATCTCCTTGACCACTATCTGGTGAAATTTCCTTTATTACTTCAGTACTCGTAAATTGTTTACGGCGTTTATAAGAGATTTTCCTCTCAAGTGCCATCGGATGCATGCTCTCAATTTCTGTGAATCTCTGTAAGAGACCAATTTTGGAGTTTAATGAATTATAAGTCTCATCGTAACTTCCATTTACGGACGGGTGTCTGTCATGATTCATATAAGCACTAAAACCAGACTCGTAACTTCTCGATACTTCTGATGCATTATCAATCATTGGCGTGCCTGGTAACAGACTAGGATTAACAACTGGTCCGAAAGCGTCACTAATATTAAGTAAATATTAAATAATTTATAGTACTCAGCACGAAAATAGCATAGACATGAGAATGTATGTTATTACCTTTCAATTATCTCATTACTACTCGATTTTCCAATTTCACTATTCATGTTCGAGTTGACGCTCTCATTAATAAATACTAAATGTTGATTATTATTTGTATTCAAGTCGTTGAAACGCCAACGATCAGTTTTTTCAACAATGTTATCCATTGAGCGGGTTTGACGTTGTCTATTGGATGAATGCTTATACATTTTACCTTCCTACATAATTAAAAATTAGGAATATAAAAATAATTTTATATCAAACGCAAGTTACTAAATGAATGAAGCTAAAAATAAGGCAGCAACAACAAGCTGACAAGAAATGAAAATTCTAGTGTTAAATTTTACGCACGTGAACGTGAAAAAAGTTGGAAATAAAATCACGCAATTTCAATATCATTTTAATATAGACATACATGTGGTTCAGGGGCATAGTCAGGAATTTGAGGAGGGGGGGGGGTCAAAAAATTTAAGGGGGGGGGGATTTTTGTGATTATTTCTCCTGGCTACGCGCCTGATGTGGTTATAATTCTTGGTTCTGATCTATAGCACATGTATTGCATGAAATCAATATTTGTTTGTAAAATTATCCCATTCATGTCACAACTCATGTCTATTCCTTTCCTTCCAAATTCATATTTATTTTATTGCATGCACCATCAGCATAATCATCAATAGAACGACTACATATTGTGTAATGTCATATTATTTCGCATGTGCCTATTAATTCTTTATAATCGTGGTAATATTGGGAAAAACATGCATGCGAAGGCTAAGTCTGTTGGGATTATTATGCTGGTTTATCCACGATTAATTAGGATTGTCGTGGATTTATGTTAGTGTCAAGGTTAAATAAATAAATATAAAGGCATTGGTGAAATCATTGTGGCTCTATGGGATGCAAAACGTTTGTAACAAATAAGTCACATAATCAATCTTGGGAAGAAGAAGACAATCCACCTGTTGAAATGGACATAGAGCTTTCTGCAATGCCGATTCAATTTAAAAACTAAGCTTTGACAAAATAATTTGCTTTGAATCTTTAGTAAAAGGTAAAGCATGTAGAGTGCCCAGCCGGAGGCACTGCGATTTAAATTAAAACAGAATCTGTTGTACCACATCCTATAGACCTACAGAATCTTTGGTAAACGAAGTCCAAAATAATCAAATTTTATAAACATGCCTAAAATTAATATTTTAATAATTCTGTTGATATTGGAACTGCTGGTATAAATTATGGAAGCATTACATGTGACATTGTGGAAAGGGAAAATGATTAGATATGAGTGATAATTATACACTACTAATCTAGTCAATAATAAACGCATGACATTCTTTTTAAATATTCAAAATAACTGCGGGAAAAATCCTTGTCCTTGAAAGTTAAAAGAAGAAAATTGTACACAAATGCTCACCTTCAAATGTTCCTCTCCCTCATTAAAAAATCCACCCGATTTACTCGGACTCGAATGTGCTTTCCGTCCAAATTCACTAGTGTCTAATGATTCATCATATCCAACAGAATAAATTTTTAAATATTTTTTATCATTTCCAATTGGTTTTATGTCATTAAGATTTTCTCTATTATTCATTTCATTACTTTTGTACATTATCCATCAATAAATTGATTTTTTAAAAAATTCTTTAAAACAGCACAAACTCTCACAAAATAAACTTTTTGGTTCTAATAAAAACTTATGGACATCGTTCAAGAGAAAAAATTGATTGATGAATTATTTATCACAGAAAAAAGTTCACATTCCGAATGTTGGTTGTATGGACATATGAAGGTATAAAAAATCAATAAGTAGCGATATTTATTCAATAAGTTCCAGTAACTGACTGCTCTTAAAATATGAATTCTTTTCTTGAGCTCCTTCTTTATAGAATAAACAATTTATTATTTTAACTGCAACTTCACTTCACGGAATGCCTTAATGTAGGTTGCTATTTTAAAATATTGATATGAATAGTTCTCATCATACTGAATAATTTAGTCAATTTTTCCCATTGACTTGTTTGCTCCTGTAAAACTTTTTTATTGACTGCATAGTTTATTGCAATCTTAAAGGCTTTTGAGTAGACAATGCTTTAAAATCCATTTAAAAGTTTTAAAATAATCCAAATTGCACTTGTACTGATAAGTTATATCTTATTTTGGCATTTATCTCCAAAACACAGCTGCCATTGCAGATATAAAAAAAATAGCACAACTATTTTCCTCCTGATTGATTTACAACCTCTTCTTTACAGTTAATAAAAATAAATGGTAGATTGAAAATAAAAGATTTTGAAATATAGCTTTTTATGTCCATTCACTACAATTTCCCGAAGTAAAATGAAAGTTTCTGTATTGGAAAAATGAAATAAATTAAAGGCACAATGGAAAGACCAGCTGCTACATATAAAGTGATTGTTGTGTGTCTGTCGTGTGAATACATCCATATGTACACTATTCTATCGTTCCTACACATAATTCATAGTGGCAGTATCAGAATTGACCGCCAATGGACATTACTATACTGTATGCTTTGTGTATGACACACATTGTCATGTGCTTTTATTTTAATGTACTGTATAAATGGGTGAAAGTTCATTATTGTCATCTATGCAGTTGTATTGCACAATGTGGTTGACTTGTATGCTTGTTGCTTAGGGACAGTTGAGGAATGTTGTAGAAAATTTACTGTGGCTAATAACATGCTCTTGGTGGTCATATGATGAAATGTTAAACTGAACGAAATCTTTTGTTTTTTTTCGTGTTATTGACAGAACTAGCTTTATGCTTGATCGTGGGTAGGAGTAAAGCTTCTTTCATCTCAATTTAGTATTTCGAGAAACACTTTACAAGAAAAAATAAGCAGATCAATCAAAACTTCATTGGAGCACATAAAGATGCTGTCACTAACTCTATTGCCGTCCTCCTATTACAGACTGCTTGCAAAGCTCTATAAAAGTTGATTACCTCAAATGATCCCTCTTCATCTTGATGGATTACGTCGATAACAATTGTGTAACGATATACTAAATACTTGATTATCCTACAACAACAAACAGGAACTAAACAATTCTAGAAATGTCACATTTATTACTTCCTACGCGGTCGCTGAAAAGCATGTCAATGTTATGATTAAATATTTATCTTTTAAAGAAGAAAAAGTTTGCCAAACGTCGTTGTAAGTCTCCCCGTATAAAAATACATTGTAAAAAGGCTTAAACATTATTCAATTCGAGTGGATATTGGAAAGCTACAACTACACATGCTATTTGAATGTAAACAACAATAAACTATCTTTTGGAATAAATTTTCTTTATGACAATTACAATGATATATAGCTAATGTATGTATGACGGCAACAGAAAACAAACTTCCAATGGAATGCATTAATTATTTATAGCATGTCCATAATATGTATTTGCTTCATAGAAATTCAAGGTTGTAACTGAACTTTACATTACACGCTTTTTATTAAGTTGCTCTATTGGTTTCTAGGATGTTAAACATTTTCTTGAGATGACTAAATATGTAACACAAAAATATATTCGCAAATAATAGTATTAATGAACCTAAATCTCAATGTTAAGGTAAATAGACTTTAACGAAATTAATTTATTTTATTAATTATTAAATAGTAAACATAAGACTAGCTTCAGTGATCGATTATATTAAGCATTGGAATATCCGAATAGACTTAAATCTTATGCTAGATTATTAAATTATGAAGCACGAAAATAACAGTTGAATTTATTGTGCAGGATTTGTGGTTGCAGCTTGCGAACGCTTTATATTTGTGATGATTGTTTGTTCTTCGCTCTTATGTCCATTTGGTGACAAGACAAAGTCTAGAATATCCTTCATAGCTTGATGAGAGAGATTTTCCCATGCTTGCTGTTCCTTTATGTCTGGATACTTAAACTTGATAAAATCCATTGAAAACTTCTTTAAATATTTTTCTTGATGCAAATCAGCCAAGACGAAAGTTTCAAGTGCATTATCAATATTAATATTTAATGCTAGTGATTCTACACACAATGGTTTGAGATCTTGTAGATCGTACTTATTTGCAGCATAAATCAATTCTGGAGCAATCGAATCAATTTCATAGACTTTCCCTGAATAGACGAATCTAATTAATTCCATTAAAGTACGTCCATCAATATCATCTATTAAAACTTTCTTCTCAGTGCCTTCTTTCATTGCTGACGTAATCATTGCCTCAAAAACTGGCGAGCGAATCGATAAAATATTTCTATGTACATAAATCTCTTTTCCATCGGAAGTAATGACTTGAAAGTCACTGAAAGACTTATTATTGAACATCTTTTCATAATGACTTGAAAGAGTTGAATTTAAAGCAGCTGATATGTCTATTTCCTTCTGTATTACTTCCAAATGAACAACTATATGGACTGTTGAACTATATAATATCCTGTAAGCTCGTGGACGAGTACAATCCTTTAAATTGATAATTTTTCCAAGTTTTTCTTCAAAATGATGAATCTCTGCTTTTCCATGAGTTCTCTTTAGGCATTTATTATTGATTTGATCCTTAATTTGGACTTCATATTTGACTATGTAATGTCCACCAGCTGAAAAGTATCTTCTTGACACGTCATCGACTCTTTTCAAGTAAAGCGTTAGCTCTGTTTTGTTTCGGATAGCAAGGAACTTCCTGTAATGTAAAGTATTTAGTACAGCTCATGATTATTGACTGGATTTACTTACCATTTAGTTGCAAACGAATTTGACAAAATAAGTTTAAATTCTGGGGAATAAAGTGATGGCAAATTCACAACATTTCTTGAATCAAGCAAATCTGAACTAAAGTTCTGTAGTTTCCAATTAATTAAAGCTCTCCCGTATGTTATAAAGTTATTAGAATACATATTTTAAATTAATTTTTCCGATCGCACAAATTTTTGCCTGCTTTATTATTGTAATACTTAGGTTAAATTTTCATCCTCAAAATAACTGACATTATAGTTTTGAAATATCTAAAACACTTCAATTTCTCTACGGTTGAAACCATTCAATTGTTTTATTCAGGGATTTTATATGGTTTTACATTTTACAAAAATATACGTTATTAAAAAGCTTATGTTGAGATCAGTGTTGCATTCTGGCTATTTGTCTGGATCAGATAAATTCTGAGACAGAAATTTCTTCATAAAATCGATTCTACATGTAGAAAGAAAAAAACCATCTACATGTAGATTGTGTCTACATGTAGAATCTGTCTACATGTAGATTTAATGTAGATGTCTACGATTCTACATTCTTCTCTGATGTAGACCTGGAAAAAATGTAGAATTATAGACATCTACATCGAATCTACATGTAGACAGATTCTACATGTAGACACAATCTACATGTAGATGGTTTTTTTCTTTCTACATGTAGAATCGATCTTTATGAAGAAAGTTTCTTAGCTAGACAAAAACTATTGAAGAATCTACATTCTTTATCTAGTGTAGACATCTACATTTGCAACACTGGTTGAGATTCTTTTTGACACGCTTTATCTTCTCTTTAATTGTGAATATTTTCCAGGTCATATCCTTTATATTTCCATATCCAAGATTTCGAACAGCTTTTGTCTTGAATTTCAGTTCTGATTCGATGATATGCCCCATTCTAATACAGTCATTTTGTTCTTGTAATCTATTGCTTTAATTATGTCAAGAAACTGTTTAAGATCCTAGTTTATTAAAAGTGAGATATTATTTTATCTTAAACTACCTATTAGGTCTTTAATAGTCATGATAATGACACATGAATATTTTATGACGTATTTTTGCTAAATAATAGCCAGGATAAAACTCGAGTAAGGAACGAGACAAGCGGAAATTATTATCACTGCATGCATGATGATTGTCTGACAATAATTGAATTACTCTTAATGATAATGATCTTTGCATGTCTGAATGCAAGCTTGCAATGATTGTTAATGTCAATACTTAGTAGGGATTATGGTTAATAGCCTTTAAATTTGATTGTTCTTCGTTCGATGAAATCGCTTACCTAATATCTCATAATCAATTTTGTGTGATTTCTTATGATTGACCTGTAGTTCTGATATTTTTCTATATTGACTTCTCATCCATTGAATATTTAAAGTTAATCATGAAAATTATTTTTTTCCTTTGGCATTTCAGAATTTTGTTATGATCTTTCGTCGATAACATTTTTCAAGTGCTTTATTCTTTTATTAACCTAAGACTATTGAATTTTCCAAAACGAAAAAAAAGACAAAAGATCCACATGTAGAAGTGCGTCAGAGTTGTAAGTAAACAAACCTTTAAAACTTTCATGGAATGTGCTGTACAAAGTATTTCAGTGAGGTCTATTAATAATACTTCTGAAGTTATATTTAACACTATACTAAATGGTTTGATACTAAGCTTGAAACTAATAATGATGGGTTTCTGTAAACTCCTTCGAATTTCAATGTCATTAAAGTTTGAAACAATTCAAAAAGCATTTAAAACGAAAGAAAGGTTGGAAGCATATTAAACATTTATGCTTAAATTTTCAAATGTCGTAGATATGACGTACTAGAAAGAAAAATTTGGGAAATGGGTTAAGGATACTCAATTGAATTATTTATAAGCTTGTTTACACGATTTGATACTTAAAAGCCTTTTACGTTCATGACAAAACGGAAATCATCATTAATTGAAATTAATGGATAGAATAAATGAGTTTTCCGATTATGATTTTATTGAATTAATTTTGGTTGAAATTCAATTTACGGCTGCTCATTCAGTTAATGGAAATAAATTGAATGAGTTTCATTGATAAATTTAATTTGATTTTCATATTTTTATGGCTTTGCGGTTTTTTGAATGGTTTTTTGGGTATGGAAATTTTAGAAAGTCTTTTTTTTGTGTATTCAAATTCAATCATATTTGAGGAAAACAGACGGATATGAAAAATTTCCGACTGTGAACATAATGAAGATTTTAAATGAAGATCTAAAACCTGAAAAATAAAGTAAAGTTTTCTCATAAATTGTATACCTCCCACTAGCTCAAATGCCACAACATTTAAGTGTCTATAGGGGCTGTTCACTTATTACGTAACGCGAAAAAATGACTTCTTAGACCCCCCCCCCCCTCGTAACAAAATGTATATGAAAAAAAAATTTCCTTGTTTGAATCGTAACAAAATCTTAGACCCCCCCTCCCCCTAAAAGCGTTACGTAATAAGTGAATGGCCCCATATATATGAGTAAATATTTTTGGTATTAGTTCCAAAAATAAAAGGAAACAATAATGAAGAGTAACCAAAATACAAACAAACAACACATTATAGCGTGCGAGACTCGTAAAAAGCTTCTACGTCACGTTACATGAGCTTAGATTTTGAATGGAAACAAAAACGAAAGAAAAATTTCATGAAATATTTAGGATCATATCATAGCGTAAGCTTCGTAATTATATTTTTCAGTCCACACCTGATACACATTTTTACTATCGTATTGGGGAAGTTTCTCATTGTTTTACTTCCCCATTGTGATAGTTATTTTAAGCTATTCATTGTTCTATAAATACAATTATTTCTACCGTACTTATATCCTTTTTATGCGTTTACCAACAAATGTTGTTTTACGATCATTTATGTCAATAAAAAAAAGTAAGAAAATCTGTCATATCAAATCGAATGTGAATGTGTTCATGTCTGGTTTATTTTTATGGCTTTTCTTTCTTTCTCTCTGGATGGTTAAAATTAAATTTAACCTGACTGGTAATAAAACATGTAAAATTAAATACCCTTGTAGCTTATTTGAACCATTTTTAACCGCTATAAATTGATTGAATTTAATTCTGTTTGAGCTCCTGTAGATATGGCTCAAAGAGCATATCTGTAGTAGATAGTCCTGAGCAGGGGCGTAGCCAGAAAATTTATGAGGGGGGGGGGGTCCCATTTTCGAAAATTAAAACCCTTATTTTGTATCCTTAAATCTATATTCATTCTTCATAAGTTTAAATATTTATTTCATTATTTATACATTAAATTTAATTTTTCGTGCTGATTTTGACATTTCTTTCATCACTTCCTCTACATTAACTGGTTCTTCTCTATAAATACTTAATAAAACAATTATCAGATTTTCGTAGGGGGGGCCCGGGTTCCCTATGTCCCCCCCTGGCTACGCCCCTGGGCCTGAGCATAGGGCTCGCGTTAAAATGGTTATATGGTATGACGGATAGCTGAAGTGAGATAAGTACCTTTGTGGACGAGTGGCAGGGATCTCTGATCGAGGGGTCAGAGATCGCCTCTTTTGAGGTAGTGGGTTCGATTCCCATCGAACCCGACTTGTTTTACCTTAGTATACATATATGGTAGTTATAGGGAGATCTACAGCTCCACATAGCTGCATATCCACATCATGTATATAGTCCAAATCCTTCCAAATTTTGTAAAGTTCAAATGTAAATTTTTTCAAGGGTCCAATATAAAATAACACAAATCAAATTAATGTTCTCTCTTATGTATGAGACTTCATACCATTGCGGTTCTGGGAGATGAAGTTTGTCAATATGTTATGCTGTGTTAGTTGAAGTGGGATTTTAATGTCTCATGTTTCAGCTTTCATAAAAAATGTGTTAAATTTTTTTTTATATTTTTCATAGCTGTAATGGGAATTATTTCCATTCATGTTGTTTTGTATTTTTTTTTTCAATCCTTAATCGTTATTTTATCTTTTGAGAAGTTGTTTTTCAAAAAAAAGTATCGTAATTATCGAAGGATTTATCAGTTCGAGAACAAAAAAAGAAGTTTTTAAATGATAATGAAAAATTTATTTCATTTTAAAAACTTTCCATCCATTCTCACTATACTTTTTGCAACTTCTTCGACATTAAGCAAGTGAGTGATTCTGGAAGTGCAATGAAAGAAAAATCGTTAAGTAAGATTATGAACTTTTTTCTCTGTGAGCTTCTGAAAGTTTTTTTGCTTTCTTTATGTTGTGAGATTGGATTAATTTCTTCTTCATAGCAGCTGTAGAGAGTAGGAAAGAAAGGATTGAAATTTATTAAAGCTTTCATAGTCAGGTTGGAAAAGAAGTGTGTAATTTTTTATGAGACAATAATCATAATTTAATATTTTTATCTAGAAAAGTTGGAAACTTTCTTTTGGATCTCTAAACTTAAGATTTCTCACACCAATTGACATGTCTATACTTCCAATTTGTTCAGTTCAGTTAACAATGTATTATTTCCATTTGATTCTATTAATTATAAATACTTCATTAATTATACAAATTTTCAGTCAATGGTGATTGACATGCAATGTTAGGGCAACAGGTCATTTTCATGCATGATAAACAATTAAAACTTTGTTGTTTACAATATTAAGGCATTTTAATAAGACTGGAAACCCAGGATTAACCTTAATTTTAATAAATTATCTTGGAAAAATGGAAAAAAGTCAGATATGAAACAGCGAGTGCCTATGGGGTCGTTCACTTCTGACGTCCATAAAAAACCTGATTTTTAGACCCCCCCCCTAAATGTCGGACGTCATAAGGGGCCATTCACTTATTACGTTCACATTTTAGGGTGGGGGGGTGGTGGGTTGAAAAATTGTAACAAAATGTAACATAAGGGGGGGGGGGGGGGTGTCAAGAAATATGTAACGTTCTAACTGTAGTCTGTCTTTCAAAAAAAAGTTCACGAAAAAAATTTGTTTACAAATTCACACCAAAAACATTTTTTAAAATTTTCCACCTTTTTATCAAAATTATGAACGTTCAGGGGGGGGGGGGGGGGGGTGTGAGTTGTAATATATTGTAACAAGGGGGGAGGGGGTGAAAAAAGTCGTTTTTTTGCGTAACGTAATAAGTGAACTGTTTCAAAAATTCGAAACCACATTTTTTCGACTTTATTTCTTCGTATGATTTTCAAGTTCTCAATTTTTGAAATTCGTAATTTTAATAGGCACTCGAAAAAAGCA